GGATGAGCAGTATATAGATACGTATTTACTACAAGCAACTATAAAACTTGACTTACAGTGGCTGAAAGACAAGTCCAGAGGTATGAGATTTATCTTTAGCTTTTCCCAGTCCTTGCCTGTTTTGAGTCTGGTATCTGGAATTCCTATCAGCTCTATGAGTTAATATGTATTCATCTAATAATTTTTATGCTTAAATTTGCTAAAGTCAATAGCAAAAACAAAACAAGTACAAGAAGAAATGGACAAGTCCACAATTACAGATAGAGGCTTCAGTATTCCTAATTTATACATCTATACAGAAAAATTGGCATTGATAGGGAATTCTAAGTCACCCCAAACTGACTTAACTGACTTTTAAAAATGCTGTACCACAAAGTGGCAGGATACGCATTGTTTTCAAATGGGAACATTTGCCAAGACAGACTCTCTTCTAGGTCATAAAAGAAACCTGAATAAATTTGAAAGAACTTGATTCAGACAAGTTCTGTTTTCTGACCACATTGGAATTAAAGTAGAAATCAGTAACAGAACGATATCTAGAAAAGCCCCAAATATTTGGAAGCTGAATAACTCTCCTAAGTAATCTATAGCTCAATGAGGAAACCTAAAAGGAGTTTGGAAATATATAAGAAAATGAAAACACAGCATACTGAAGAGGCATTTAGGAGGATATTTATAGGATTACAGAGAAATATAGTTCCACTTAGAAGAGACACCTCTGAGTATGAATAGTCACAGTCATAGAGACAGAACAGGACGGAGTGTGCCAGCAAGAGAGGAGGGACAGCAGGGAGGAGCCACTCAATGGATACAGAGTTCCAGTTTCGCAAGATGAAAACAGTGCAGGAGGAGGATGGGGAATGGTTGCTCAACAGTGTAAATGCACTAACGCCACTGAACTGTAAGATAGCAAATTTTGTGTTGTGTGCGTTTTGTCATAACTTTAAAAATTCATGAGGAAGAAGAGGCAGGGAGGAGCAGAAAAAGAAATGTCAGTGGTGGCAGTGTGCTAGAAGCAGTTTCCATTTTTTTCATTTGAACTCTGTAGAGTAGCCCCAGTGAATGGACGTCAGATGGAGCAAATCAAGGAACAGAGAGGCCAGGATGTTGGGTAGCTTAGCCACCAAAATTCAGAGGCTACTGAGTGCAGTAGTGATGTATGCCTGGGTGATGAGAAGCCATGTGCCAACACCTTCACTGAATGAGGGTGATTGCAAAAGGTTCAACAGATGATAGCAGTCAGCAAGCACAAAGATTTGCATTCCAAATGGCACAAGTTTCCATGCAGCCCTTCATATGAGGACAGGTTGGCTGGTTGCCCTTTGAGACTGGGGTTTGGCTCAAACCCACTGGACTGTGAGGAGTATGCAGGTAGGAAGCTCATGCTGCCTTCTGGGCTGTCTTACTGCTTTTTATCTGTGACCTAGGAATCTTGTATCTTTTTTACTAATGTCTGTGAAACCAATGCAAGCTAACTTGCTAGCATACAAGCAGGTAAAATCCCTTCTAAGCAGTAGTTTCTGGGCTAAAGACTGTTACAGTTTGTGTTTAAATGTCCCTCCAAAACCTCATGCAGTCGTGGAGGAGGAGGCCTTTTGAAGGCAGCTGAATCTAGCCTTTGTGATTGATTCCTTGTCTAGTGCTGGGATTGGTGGTGTGAGTGCTGCACCTGCCTAAGGGTCGGTAGCTGGCATACAATATAAGGCAGAGAAGGAGGTGTGCTTTTCCCCATTTTTGTCCTTTTGCTCTTAACTCTTGCATCCTTTATGAACACTTACCTCTCAGCTACAACATCCTGCCTTGGATGCAGCTCAGTATGGCCTGAAACTTCCCAAAACTGTAAGCTAAATAAACCTTTCCTTCCTTCATTTTGGGTGTTGGGTGTTTTGTTACAGCATCAAGAGAAAAATTAACCAAGACAAGGACCAAGCAGGTTTTCTGCTGGGCAGCAGAGGGACAGCACTGCAGGAATGCTGAGCTGCTCCTACAGGGCAGAGGAGACTGTGGAAGGCTCAGTGGAAGACTTTATGCTGCTTACATCTGGCCATGTGAGGCTGCATACCAGAGAGTGAGCCCGGGGGAATGTAATGGGTTGGAGGAAATGACATCAGTTTTGGACAACTCAGGTGGAAATGTCCTGAGGGAGGGAAGTCGGGGCTAGACTTGGTTTCACAGAACAGAATATAAATGGTAGTTTAAGCCTTAGGTGAATCCATTACATTGAAGGAATGGAGTGAATAATACTTTGTCTCATATCCTTAGCCTATGGAGGCCAGGCTATGCAACTTCTGGTGATCCTCCTGCTTCACTTCTACTCTTGAAGAGGCTGGAAAATTTGGATTTATATTTTCCAACCTTTTAAAAATTGTACAAGTCAGCTCTAGCCACTGGGCCAGTATTTTGCAGCCTCTGATTTAACTGGTCCCTAAAAGCATGGTCTTACTGGATGGGTCTGTGAGAACTGGGTGGAGAGCCACACATTGCTGCACAAGAATGTGGGGCTCATGTCTGCCCCAGGGAGCAGAGGTTCTGACCTCTATGCAAGCCCTGTTTCATCTTTAGTGAAGTAGTTTTAGGACTAATGATGTGGAACTGCCTCTTTCTGGTCCTTTGCATGTGAATAAGCAATGGCCAGGGAAACTGAGCTTCGGTGCCTTTCACAGATGCATATAGTGAACTCAGCTCATGGGCATGTACCACCATGCCGGAGCAGGCAAGTTTTTCTTTTGCCTCAGTGCTCCTGCCCTTTCCCTCCCCCTCACCGGACTTCCCGCCCACACCTGCATTTACAGTGCTCTGTTCTGTCTGCACAGCCTCAGAAGCAAAGACCAGAAAAGCATTTGGCAGAAGTCTGAGGCTCTGCTATTTCCACCTTCACACGGCCAAGTGGAGACTTGGTTTGAAAGTTACTGGGAATCTGTTGAGTAGGTATCTCTAGAATTCTATCAGCCATGAGAAGGGGAAGGAAAAAATGACTTTTTAAAATGCCACTTTCCTAACCAGGCACAAGTTTATAATCCCAGCATTCAGTAGGCTGAGGCAGAAGGATTACTTGGAGTTGCAGGCCAGCCTGGGCTACAAAATCAGTTCAAGACCAGCCAGAACTACACAGTGAAACCCTGGCTCAAAAACAAACAAACAAAAAACTGAATGAACAAAAAGTCCATTTTCCCTTGGTCTATCCTATAAGATACTATGAAAGTTAGACGACAGATGACATTGTATTTCTGAGGGTGCTATGAAGTTTTAAAAGCAACTTTGCTGCTATTGTTGTAACTTTTCTCCATGTCTCTGATTTGAATGCTTTTCTCATGCTTTGGATCAAATAAGTTTTTTTTCCTTTTTTTTTTTTTTTTGTCTTTTTCATTTTTATCAGTACCGGCGATCGAACTCATGACCGCCTGCTTGCAAGGCAGGTGCTTATGCCGCTGAGCTAAATCCCCAGCCCCTCAAATAAATTTTTAACACTGTGTATTTCATCATTACATATTAGACCCTTAGGAATTCCTTGGCACTGTCAGAGGTGGGAAAGGCATTTCCACTTCAGGGTGTCAAATCAGAGAATAATTACACATGCTACGCTTTAGAATATTCTTCCGAGAAGGAAATTTGATCTCCTGCAGAAGATCTTTGAGATACACTATAACTCAAACATACTAAATTTTATTAGTTTACAGTTATATAGATCTCACCCATAGGGCAAAATATAAAGAAAAGTACATATTGATACATGCAAATTAGCAAGGCAAGTAGAGGCAATTTCTTTCACTGTAATCCCCTTCTGGGTGAAAAACCTAACATGGTTATCACAACTCAGCTAGAGAAAGTGATGAACATACAGGCCGTGAGAACTACTGAAGTATTGTTAACATTTGCTCTTCAAATTAAGAGAATTAACATTTTTTAAAATCAAAAGACAACTTAATTGGCATTTTAGGATTTCTGTTGCTGCTTTTTCCTACTGATGTAATTTATGTAACAGATTTACATGGAGCATGGATCTTCCATAGCTATTGGCTTCTCTAAATTGAATTTATGACTTATATAGCAAACCATCAAGAAAAGGCTGGGAGGCCTGGCTGAGTTCTCCTCAAGGTGAAGTTTAGAAATTTCACTCTAAAGTAAAGAAAGTATTTAAAGCTATTTTTCTCTATGCATAAGGCAAGTCAGGCAACATATATTTTCATTATAATGGAATAGGGCTTTAGGTTTGTATCTGGAAATGAAATTGTGTTGGAGAGTATTCATAATTATCAAACCATAGCAGCATGTCTCTGATCTCTAAAGCTTTTGACTGTCAGAGAAAATTCAAAATATGTAATTACATGAAATAAACCTCAACTTGGGCTAAAATGTTTACATTAATGTTTTGATTCAATAATGAAAGTTAAAAGGATTTTTTTAAAAAAGAAGTCAACTCTGTGATTGACCTAATTCAACCTATCAAGAAAACAAAAACCATCTCACATGATAAATTCAGTACTTCAAAAGTAATTCAAAGACACACAAAGCAAATGGTCTGTCATGGACCACTGGAACATAGCATATCGTCATTACCTTGAACTGTTTTCTGCATAATTTATAAGGTGAGAGAATATATTGCATAGCTGAACATAGTTTGAAAAATCTGTTTTACTTATTTGGTTTTTTGAGATAGGATTTTTCCATGTAGTCCAGGCTGGCCTCAAATTCCCTGTATAGCCCAGGTTGGCCTCAAACTTGGCAGTGATCCTTCTGCCTCAGCCTCCTGAGAACTGCGATTACAGGTGTGTGCCACCACTTCTGACTTATTTTTTAAGATTTAATTTACTTAAGATTTTTGAGACAGGATCTCATTGTGCAGTCCAGTCTGGCCTTTGACTCACTATGTAACCAGGCTGACCTTGAACTCACAATTCTCCTGCCTCAGCCTCCCGTGTGCTGGGATTACAGGCATGTACCACCACACCTGGCTGGAAAATCTTAATGCTTTAGATTGGACACATCAAATCACACTATAATTTACTTTGCACTTTACAAACTTTATTAAATAATGGGTACTACTAACATTAATTATCTTATATACAGTATTTAAACTATGCTTCCTAGGTGCATTTTCTCCACAAAGGATAGAGTATGTGAAAAAAATTGATCCCTTCATACAGGAACCCAGTGAGAATTTTTAAGTACATATAACTTTCCCTCTCAATTATGTACATCCCCATTCCCCTTCCAGAAGACACTTGTTTAAAGAAAAGCACTTAAATGATAGCTGAGGAAACATACAGACATGATGATATGTGTATATGCAGCTCTCAGAGTCTGCATACTGCCTCCCAGAAGTGATCTGTAACGCTTCAGATCAGTCCTGGAACCTGAAGGACCACAGAGACTATCCATACGTAGACATCCACCTTTGTGCATGGCTGCATCCCTACAGGTGGCAACCACATCTGTGCAAAAAGACACTGCTGTGAAGAATTAGTACTTTCTGAGACTCAGGTGCAACAGTAATGTGGATTATGTAGAATTTGGGTTTTATAGACCAAAACACAAAAATGGAAACTGCATTCCTGGACAACAGTCAGGTAACTTTGTTTAGTAAGTGACACAAATGCACTCATGTACATTCTAGCAAGGCTAACAACATACTTTCTCATGTTTCCTGTCTTTTTGGATACTGCTTCTTACTGAAAACTCATACTATACTTAACTAAAAGCAGTAAAAGAAGGCCATTCTATTCAATATGGACTTGTTCTTTCCTGTGCTGGGGATGGGACCCAGACAAGTGCTCTAGCACTGAGCCACAACTTCAGCCTCTGGGTATGAGAAGAGAGATGCATTTGCAGAACAAGAAGCTTGGGCTCTATATTTAAAATGAAAACTGCCTTAGGTACCTATTTGTAAAGTATAGTCACATTTTAAGCTTTACAGGTAAGACAAAAGGAATAGGGTTTAAAAAGATGGAAAAGATTTTGGCAAGATGCCACAGGTTCAATATTATTGCCTATCTTTCAATGAATATCCTGGACTCCTTTCCCTACACAAACTATCATAGCTTTAAAAATGGAAACGGATTGTTTTAAATTATAATAAAGAGAAAAGATAGAAAAATGGAAATGAAAGTGAAGAAAGACCACATAATGTACAACTGCTTAAAATGAGACCAGAGAGGGTGACGGGAGAAAATATTCTTGGGTTACTAATGGAATCTTTAATAAAATAAGAGCACCCAAAGGAAGGCACTGTGAGTAAAAAGCAAAACCAGTAATTAAAGAGAGTACTGAAGGCAGATGACTGCTACTTTGTAAAAATATTCTGTTTCCTTCCATGAAGAGCTAGTTTAAAACATAGCATCACAAAGAAATGCTTTATGAAGACTGTAATGACAACATAGAAATGTAATTAGTCAGAACCTAGTAACCAAAACGTACATGCCTCAAAACAATGAAATAAAGGCTGTCATATTATGTATTATTTGGAAAATGAATTCTTTCCTCATTCTGGTGGCTAGTAATTCCCCAGGGCTGGGATCTAGTAGGTTCTTTGGCAGAGTCCAGAACTCGTGAAGGTGATACGAAAAACTGCTCTGGAAATAGTAACTTTACAGTGCTTTGCCCTTCTGCAGCTTTGGGTTTACTTTGTGTTTGTTAGAGATGGGCACACAGAATGCTATGGTGAAATGTTTTTTGTTGTTTCTCTCGTCTTTTAATTGTATTACGAATGATAATCAAGTTGTCACCAGGAGTCAGTCTGTCTTTTCTGGTAGTTAGGTCAATTTACATTTTATTGAGCTTGGTTTTCTTTACGCCATGGAGGAAACAGCTCATTTCAGGCCACAAGTCATATAAACAACATGATAAGCAGCAGCACATAATCCAGGCCTTGTCCAGGAATACAGGTTTTTGCTCACCAGAAGTTGGTCTTGCTACGTTTTAATTTTCCAGTCACACACTTTCTACATTGACATGAAATGATGTAAGAATTCCAGCCTAGAAATCCTAAAAAAGGCACCAAGACTACATTCTAATTACAGATCTCTGGCATATATTATTCCAGGGTCTTACCATGAATGTAACAAACATGTCAGATATAAGCATAATTCATTAAGCAGCTTTAGTTTCCTTTTAAGTCATGTAAAGAAGGTCTCTTTGCTGTCTCTGAATTGTATGATAAAGCTACTTGGGGCTTTTGGGTAATACAGATTTATTGCATTTCTCAAAGTATGGACACTGTTGTCAGGATATGGAAAAAATCATAGTCATGTTAAAAAATAAGCCTAAAAATTTCAAGTAATGTTGAGTTACATGAAACATGAAGACAACTGACATCAGAAAAGATGCTTAGATGCTAACATTTGTTATGATTCTGGCTGTATGATCAGCTGGTTCAAAAAGTTGTGCTTTAAAACACAGTATATTTTTACATCTCCTGTTATTACAAAATTGTTTTAACCTGGTACAAATAAAACACCTCCTCAGTACAGTATCTGTAATTTAAGCACAAGCAGTAGTTAATTCAGGCAGCTATTGTTAAGAACTTCAGGCAAAACTGCTTGAACTGAGACACTGAAACTTTTCCCTTAGAGACTGGACAATATTTTGTTGGCTGGCTGATGGCCCCCGCCAGAGATAGTCATTCAGTTTGTCAGAATCACTGTAGGTCGCCAGATATGATGAAAGCCCAGGTTTGCTGCTTCTTGGCTCTTTGGGAGCGCACAGGATATTCAAAGAGTCAGAAGTGTGGCTGCTGCAGACGTTACTGGAAGAGTCAGTGTCCACCATCTCAGAGTCAGATTTCCTTCTGTGACTCTGAGACAGCTCCAACTCTGCCTCATCTTCCTCTGACTTGATTTCCACATAGTCATCTTCATCTCCTTCAGTCTCTTTGAAATTAGAAAAATAGTTCTGTGTTGCTATTTGGACATTTAAGGGCAAATTTCTATTTACTATCAGAACTTTCTGTGAGTCTTGGAGTGTGAGATCGGAGCCCTTTTCAGGGCCCTGGTGAGCCCTGGCAGCACTACCTGGCAGCAAATCCTGGTGGCTCCCGCTCCTGGAACCGCGGTGTAAAGGTGATGGCTGTGGCTTGCCCAGCTCGCTGGGGTAGGTGATAGAGTCCAGCGACTTGTTGATCAAGATGGAGGAGGATGACTGGGACCTGTTATAGGGCTGAGATTTGGCACTTACGCCTTTGCGACCCAGGGAGTTGTAAAGGTGGCCCTGACAGGAGTTCTCTTTGTGGGGCTGACTTACTACCACACTGCACCTCTGCGTGGAGCCCAGCAGGGGGTCACACACTTGAAGAGAAGGCACTGAGCAAGCTGCAGACAAGTGTCTCGGAGAACTTCTTGTACTCATTTCTAAAGTCGGATACTTTGACCTTAAGTCTTGCTCTGGCCAGGGGCAGAAATCTGCTAACTCTCCATTGCTGTAGGTCGAATGCCAAAGCCAGTCCTCGCCAGCTTGGTGGGCCTGGGAAGGCGATGCAGCCCTGCGGAGGGAAGGGTCCTGCATGCTGGCCCAGCCATCCTTCTGAATTTTCGGGGGTGTCTCCCTGAACACAATCTGGTCATACAGTTGGGAATACTCAGCAATCCTGGCACCTGGAAGGTAAACATTGAGACAATAAGAACACATTGGATTATTCCTACATGTGAAGGTAAAATATAAGGGCATAACATTTTAATCAATTTGTTTCTTTGTTTTTTGGGACAATGTCTTGCTATGTAGCCCAGGTTGGCCTGGAACTCATGGTGATCCTCTTGCCTTGCTGTCCCCAGTGTTGGAATTATAGGCATGTACCACCACACATGGCATCTAATCAATACATTAAAAAACCAAACCAAACCTAACCAAATCAAACCAAAACAACTTAAACAGTGGACATGACTTTAATTAAAGTGAAGTTGGAGAATGAGTAATTACTGACCACAAACTAATAAAATAATTCAGTTTATATATAAATAGAAACATCACCAAAAAGTTCATTTAATTTAATTGAATTCTGCACGATTTTATTTGTACAGCAGGTCTGCAAATGTCTACTGATTATAATGAAAATTTCCAGTGCTATTTTCAAGCATGAAACAATGTCAGTGTTGGAAACAAGCACCCTAAAAGCAGGACCCTTAGCACTTAAGCTAAGTCAATAAAACATAATTTGGCTGGGCATACAACTCTGCATTAGAGGGCTTGCATAGCAAGCATTAGGCTCTGGGTTCAATCCCCAGTACTAGAAGCAGCAAGTAAATAAAAATAAATCATAAAAATGAGAATGAATATGAAAATAATCACTCAAATAGTCACTAAAAGAAGCATGATCCTCATGCACAATGCAATGGCCAACTCTGATTTTCCCCCACTCCTACTTGCTCTCAACTACTTCTAGAGGAGTCTGTTCCTGTACTTCTGGATCCCAGACAGCTCTCCACTGCCACCATCTGGGGACCCAATTTCTAGGGACGTCTTCCGCAAAGAATCAGGACTAACTTCACTTCTTGGACTAACTCACTTTTTTTGTGCTGCAAAGAAGAGAGTGTGTGTGTGACTATAGCTCATGCCTTCAAGTCATTAATGAGACACTTGTAAATATATGCAGAAATCCAATGCTTTCTACTGGTAATACTTGCTCAACAGTAGGACTTCCTATTTTTCCATAAAGCTTTTGCCATTTAAACTGTAAAGTCATTTTTCCTTCTGTTGTACTTCTGAGTACAGCCACTTCTAAAGATAGGAACTGAACCTTGATATGGATAATGCATTCTCTTGGGCCAGTAATGATTTAAGAGGGAGCCCAGATGTGAATTAATTTTTCTTTCTTTCTTTCTTTCTTTCTTTCTTTCTTTCTTTCTTTCTTTCTTTTTCTTTCTTTCTTTCTTTCTTTCCCTTCCTTCCTTCCCCTTCTTTCCTTCCCCTTCCTTCCTTCCTTCCTTCCTTCCTTCCTTCCTTCCTTCCTTCCTTCCTTCCTGTGCCAGGGATTAAATTCATGACCTCGTGCTTGCCAGACAGGTGATTATGCCACTGGCTAAATCCCTGGCCTCGCTAGATGTCAGTTTCAAAGAGCTGTTCCCCTGCCTGGTCTGGGCATCCACATGACCACCTTAGAATCAAAGAACTCCATGTAGTGTTTAAGTTGCTCAGATCACATCTATATTACCCCTGCGAAAGAAATCTATCCCATTGATGATAACCAGCAAATGTTTCCAAACTATTTATATTGTTAGTAACTGTTATTAGTAAATTATCTTTTGAATGTGAGCTAAGTACTCATTCAATTGTTTTTGCCCTTTCTTTTCCACTGGTCATATCTGAGCCTGTCTTCTTTGATGAAAGAAACAACTGGCTGTTACTGCACACCCTTTAACTGCAATTCCTTTGTTCATTCACCCTTTGCTCCCCGCAATTAAAGTAAACATCTGACATCTCATTACAGAGCCTATACTCAGATCCTTTGGGGGTTTCAACTCCAAATTCCTTGCAAGGACAGAGAATATTAGGTTAGGAATTTCTAGTAAACAAAACATGGGAAATTCTTTAAATTGCAGAGCAAAATCTCTTAATACCACCTAAGATTTAGCACCACCTGAAGAAAGAGCAGTGGAAGTCTCTTTGGATACCAGTGTGTTTTCATTCACCATCCTAAAGCTTGTAACGCTTCACTAACTATGAGACCCAGCCAAAGGCAGCTGGGCCTTCAGACAAAGTCACATGCACCCTGCACCCTGTCATTCACCTGTGCACAGATGCACAGACCCATGGGAATGAAGAAGGCTCTCATCTTCTAGAAGGTTCCAAGAAGATGATGGTTTGGGGGAAAACAAAACTAATTCAAAATTCAAACAATCCTAGTATCAAAATGTAGTAAACGAAGTAGTCCATACTCTGGATTTTAGCCTAGTTAATCTGAAACACTGACTCTGAGTCACCCGGTTGGGTGATTTAGAGTTGGAAATCTGCTCCTCCTTCCACACAGTATTTCTCTTGCCTTTGTCCTCTTACACTTTTCACTTCCTTTGGTTAATCAGATCCTGCCCATGTCTCACGAGTCTCATCTTCCTTGGACCCTTTGCTAACTGATCTCTCTCCCTGAAGTCTTATATATAATGTATGCATAATGCACATGTACACACACACAACATCATGCTGCCCTTCCATTTTTATAGGCTACTTACTTCAGCTAGTCTATGAGATTTTGACCTTAGAGAACATATTTCATATTTTGTTCAGCCTACCACAGAACACAACCATAGTTCTAGATAGAAACTGGGCCCCATAACTACTTCATTATCCAGTTAATACCTTTTACCCCTTCATTTTATTTTAAGCATAGAGTTAAACATGGATGGGCTTTCCCTGAGAGCAGGCCACTGGATGTGGAAAAACAGTCCATAAACAGTCCATGGAAATCAGGCCATAAGAAGGGAGGCAGGAAGACTGCTTTGGATTAAAATGCTTCCCATGGACAATTCACAGTGGGCATAAGCATCTTTAATAATAGCAAGGAGTTGACCATTTATCAATTATGAATAAAATGTATCTTGCTAGTAGAAAATGCACTGTGATTATCTAAGTTTGTGTTTGTTTTAGCCACCAAAAGGGGCCTGCGACTTGCATGATGTCAGTGGGAATGAGCCACTGACATCCCCTGAGGCAGAATCACAGGAAAGTCAGCATGAGACATTTTGCCTCACCTGAAAACCTTGATGCCAGCAGCTGGCTCAAGGTCCCCTGTATCTTTAGTCTTTACAGAACACGTAAATTATCATTCCTTGATAATCTCAGGGCTGTCTCTGTTTTATTTTCCTTTTTGAAGGCTTGAAAGTTAGAGTTCTTATGATTCAAGATAAAATACGAAGGCAATCCTGCCAAGGCAAATATCAAACATGCTGTTTCCAAGACAAGATTAAAATCAATGTTTCTGATGTTCTCTGAGATATAGTCAATAGCATAAAATCGTGCCTTCCCTATTTTACTCCAGGAAGATTTCTCGAGCCTGGACAGAGTTTTCTACCATGTGAAAATCATAAAAAAAAAACAAAAAACAAAAAACAGGAATCCAAAGGTCTCTGGTTGATGCAAAAAGCTATCAGAGAGAGGTCTGCCTGAACAAGATGGCTGGCATGCTACACACAGGTTCTAGAATGCGGGAGCAACTGGACCTGGTTGGGTGATTTAGAGTCGGAAATCTGACCCGGGGCCTGTAGACCCCTGGTTGAGAGTTCAATAAAGATGCTCGAGAGTTTCAGCAGGTGAATAGGGTGCTCTTCCTTCCGCACAACACCGAGAGCAAGCTCCTGGCAAAGTGGCAAGGCCCATACGCAGAAGTCTGGAGAATCGGTCCATTCCATTATGACGTCCTGTGCCCAGATAAACAAGAAAGAGAAAAGGAGTCATCATGTCAACTGGCGGAAAGCGTGGTGGGCACAGGAAGTGGTCTCGATCACCCAGATGGAGGAGACATGGAGCTAATTCGCCAGGTCCAAGAGATGGCAGGCCCTAAGGATGTGGTCCTGCCAGATGACCAGGAAAGACAGCACTGCTGGGAGGGATCTTCTCCTTTTTGTTGGGGAGGACATCGGAAGTAGCCCACCATGTCAAGAAAGGACCCAAGTGCAAAGCTGAGAAAAGAATCTATGGGATCCCAAGAAGATATAAGCAGTCAAAACAAAAAGGAGAACCCAAAATTATAAGAAGCAAAAGAACTCTCACCCGAAACTAATACTTAAAAGGTAGGTAAACACTATTCACAGCAGTTGTAAATCTTAGAAGGGCTTGCTTCAATCAAGATTAAGTGTTTTGCATCTTAATGGGTGTCACAGAGTCCAAACAACCTGCCCAAGCAATTACCACTGTTTAGACAAGAGTGTATCAGCCTAGTCTGTCACCATCAGACATCTTTTATTGTCTCTGATTCTGGAAAGCCCCAGCCCAGACTCAGCCGGGAACTCCAACTGCCCATATACAACCATTTCTCAGGCTATCTATGCTTCCCCAAAGTAGTCCTCCTTAGATGCTTTCTCCAAGTACTACATAATAACAAACCAGTTAGTATTGGAAAAGGAACATAAATGACTTATTATAAGGAGAAAAACACATGTGACAGTCTGTCATGCTCCTACAAAAACCACTGTTATCTTCTATTTTGTTCAATGACGAAGACCTCAAAGAGCCTGTAAACTCCTTCAGGCATCAACACTAAGCCTTCAATTCCTGATAGGAAATTTTACTAAAGGTTAAAGCTTTACTTTAGACAATATTAAAATACTCCCAAATTTAAAAAAAGTCCTACAGATCTCATTCTGATTCACTGTTTTTTTTAATTGCTTGGTACCAGGGATGGAACTCACAACCTCACTCTTGCCAGGCAGGCGCTCTGCTCCTGAGCTCCATCTCTGGCCCACATCCTGACTCACTTAGGATTTTGATAGCCCCTTCTTACTCTCTTATTTCTACATACTGAATAAGTTAATTCCAAAGAAAGGACAGGATTGGGACCAAAATATCCAAGTTAGTAGCATCAGTCCATCCAAATGTGCCCTGTGCCTTATGAAGCTGATCAGCCAAACCTGTGGATACAAAGCCATCGACGTTTTACTTTTAATTGGAGAACTGACTCTTTCTTCATGTCGAGGTGGTCCTTTGTCAGAAAATCTAGGGCAGGATTTCTTAAAATACCAAGGGAAGGCTACACTGTTTAAAATCAAAATTCCTGGACCTTACTTCAGAAATCTTTCGAGGAGGTCTGGAGGTGAAAAGCTGCTCAGCTCTTTCAGGAAAATCATCTGTTCTCTTCACACCTAAGCCCTTCCCCTGAGATCAGAGAGTTCTGTCCTTCAAGAAAGTCAAGCCAAACCTTCTCCTTCTGCACCCCTGATCTTACTAATGTCATGCCTGTGATCCTGACTTAGTTGTTATACTCTATGTTAGTCCAACAAGAACTAAGATTCTTAGAAGCACAAATGGGATACCAAATGAGATACAGTTCAATGCAATACTAGCTATTTTAAAAATTGAGTAGCAGCTAAAATATGTAAGAAAACCACTGATTTGTGGACAGCTAAGAAAAACGTGAAAGCAACTTTTTTTCCCCCTTTGTAGGATTAGGTATTTCAGTGGGAATTTGAAGGCAAAAAGCAATCCCATTCTGTCTGCTTCCAAGCTTGGGAAGGTTTTGTGAACCGTTCCTCCTGCTAACGTATCACGAAGCTCAAGGTATCACAAGCTAAAGCTGATGCCTTTTTTTCATACTTTAGGTTCTCTTAAAAATTTTAAAAAATATACCACCTCCATAGTGACAATGTTACACATACACCATAATTCCCTGAAGCCATATCATGCTATAGCTGTACAATTTGGTGAAGTGGGAAAAGCCACCCATGGCTTTGTCTGTGGTCTTTGAGGTAGGAACACTTGAATGAATGACTGTTTTCACAGCTGCGCCCGCTTTAAGGACACTTGGAATCAGACACCTCTCTCCCACCTGACAGTCAAGAAGGAAGAAAAGTTGTGTGAACATACCAATGGCTGGGCCTCCTTGCCTCTTCTCTTCTAGGATAGCTGCAAGGTCCTTGGGTGCAGGCTTTTGATGCTGACTGGCTGGCTGTGGCTCCAACTCTGGGCTCCTTACTTTCAAAAGTTGATTTGCCTTCTTGATCTTCTGACTGTACTGCCTCGCCATCATGAAGACCCGGCTTTTGGTCTTATCTGTGCCATCCACACCAGAGTCAGGGTTCTCTGGGTCTGTCTGGGGCAGGCTGCTGCTGACCAGATCATATGGACTGTCTATGGGAGGGATCTCACTGGCCACAGAGAACCGGTTGAGACTCAGAAAGGAACCCTCTGTGGAAATCAAGTCTTCCTCTGATGGGCCATTTGTCCGGGCAGGCCTGATGACCCTGTTTTTCACTGGCGCGAGGAAAGCCTGGCTCTCGGGAAGGGAGAGAGTGGATATAGCACGCTCTGCATCCCGGCTCAGCTCAGGGGTGCTTTCCGTGTGCAGCCTGCCTGGCACATCATCTTTGCTCACGGGAAATGCTGCCAGGAGACGGTCTCTAGCTTTGTCTTCATTTTTCTTGATGTAATTTTCTAGATCATTCCAGATTTCATCTACCTCTTCTGACAGTTTATCAGACAGGGTCTTATCAGCTATGGACAGGTTACAGTTGGAAGAGTTATACAGCAAGCTCAAATAGTCACTGTCTGGAGGCCCTTGATGGTAAGGTCCATCATCCTCACTCAGCTGGAGGCTATCCTGGGACACAAATGGCCTCAGGCTGTCACAACATGTAAAGTCAGCTTCTAGTCCTAGGAAGGTGCTCCTTTTGGACCGCTTTAGGCTGCTGCACTTGAAATCCAGCGATGGTGGGTCTGGGAGCCGTATAGTATCATAGATGTTCTCCTCCTCCACCTGGAGCTCCTGTGTGCTTTGGTTAGACACTGCCCGACTGCCCAGGGCTCCATCTCTCCTTGTGTGTAGAGAGCCTGTGCTGTAGCTAGCTTGCTTCTTCGAGAGGGCAAGCTCTGGGGTGCTCTTAGGGCGAACCGAATCCCTGGCTGATTTGAGGGGAGTAGATTGAGGTTCTTCCCGTTTAGCAACCATTAGCTTTAAGTCCTCATAACTTATGTTATCATAGACATGGTCTATATCGTCAATTGTCAACTCTACAGCTGACCCAAAAGGATTCACCTCTTCCTGCACTTCAGTGTGAGGACCATTCTGCAGTTCCCTTCGGGGGCTGTACTGAGAGCCATTGCTGTCCTTAATTCTTATTTCAGAAGGGCATGTGTTGCTCTCACCAGCACTGCTGGCCCGTCGGACAATCCTGTGGCCAGCACCTGAGCTCTCTGTGGACTCAATCTGTCCCATATGCCAGCTGCAAGGGCGACTCGAAGTGCTGCTGTCTTCACACAGCCTGACTGAGTTCAAATCTGAGGAGGAAAAGGATGGTACAAACATCTGGTAATCATCTTCATCATCGTCATTCTCCTGTGCGGACCGGCGGCTGGGGAACAAGGCCTGCCTAATCTGGTGATCGGTCCAGATGTTCCTGATGGCACCACCCCCACGAAGCGCGCTGAGAATTGCAGAGCTGCTGGGCTGACTGTTCCTCTGGGCAGGAGAAGGCCCTGCAGAAGGCAGCTGGGTGGAGCCTTCCTCTCTGGCAACCTGAGTTAAGACAGAAGCATGCTAATGAATTACAGCACCATGGAGAAGCCATACCACGTGGGAATTTCTCCTGTACTTGGGTGTGGCCTCTGACACTGCACTGCCATATTCTTAAAGAAAATGAGCAGTAGACAATGTTGATTTTAATTGAGTTGAAAAGCATTTCAAATTTTTGGAAAAGGGGCATAAAAGACAAGATTACTTATTTAGAAACCTGGCTAGAGGCAATTTGCAGATATCCTCCATAGTTAATATTCAAAAATCACTTTGCAAATTAGATATTAGACGAACACAGAGTCTGCCAAAAATGCATACACATTTTAGCAATTCACCATACTTACTGATAAATGTGTGGAAGCTCACCCCCACCCCTGTGGGGACCTCTTGTAATTGTAGGGGCCCAAAGAAATGTGTATTAACCTCATGATGCCTCAAGAAATACAGTATTAAAATATTTATGCAAGTTTTCCTTTTCCTGATGTATGCTTTGTTTTGGCAGACTCTGTACAGTAGGGAAATGTAGGTTCTAAAGAATCGGTGACTTGGGGCTGGGGATTTAGCTCAGTGGCATAAGCGCCTGCCTTGCAAGCAGGCAGTCGTGAGTTTGATCCCTGGTACTGATAAAAAGGAAAAAGACAAAAAAAAAAAAAAAAGAATCGGTGACTTGCTCTGCCTATTTGGTGGTAAGGGTAGGATTCAAATCCAGGTCTGACTCTAAAACTCTGGCCCCAAAGCAGGATACCGGTTTTAATACAGACAACTCTTAGATACTTCGAAGTGCTGGGACTTGGCAAATATTGATTGCATGAATGAATATACCTAGGTATCAGGGGCCATGGTGTCCAGTTTCTATCTGAGACTTTTTAAGCAATGTTTGACTCACGGGAGTCTTATCATGGTCTCTTGTATGCCAGCAGCCCCTGATGGGCAAGCCAACTGCATACCCCAATTGTTTCCTCAAATCAGCTGACTCCTCAGGAGCCTGATCAGAGGAACCTCATTTTATAGATTCTAGGCGGAGCCTTTGTGTAGGGTTATAGTTTAATCCATTGTTGAGTGCTGTTATTTTTGCTTTGCTTCAAAATATATTTACTTAAGTAACACTGAATTGCCTATTAGGAAGTAAAATATGAGTAATGTTAATGATTTCTAAACAAAGGAAACAAAGAAGTGTTATTTATTTATAACACGGGACCTTTTTTGATGGAGTGGATTACTGTGATACTATTTTTGTAGACAGAAAGATTAACTTCAAAAACTTGAAAGGATTAAGACTTGTTCAAACTAATTTGTATCAGGGACATATTTTTGGTTAAGATGTTATGGTAACCTACGGAAATTCCAAATAAGTAACAATTTTTCATCACTTTCAGTTTATCTACCAGGAAAGAAAGAAAGGAGAGGATAAAAACAAAATTTTGCCTTAAGGGCTATTTTTCTATTAAAGCCTAAAAGGATTAATTTTATATTTTATTCTATTTTTTTACTCACATATCACATACAATACTTGTAGAAAAATTTACTGCTTTTATATATCATTTCTCTCCATCTTTTAGTATCTCTCTCCTTTGCCTTACTCAGACTATGCTGGTATAATTTTTATAAAAATATTGGCTCATCCTATGCTACTATATTTTTTTTGGCACTGGGAATTGAACTCAGGACCTTGCATTTGCCAGATTGGCACTGTGTCACTGAGCTATGTCCCCAGCCCTATGCCAGTTAATCTTGATTGCCAACTTGATCATCAATGGACCAATGGACTATTAGGAGGCAGGGTCTAGTTGTATGAAGTGAGTCATTAGGGCACAGTCTTAGGGACAGTCTGATTCTTGGCTCCTTCCCCTGCTGGCTATTTGCAGGATGCCATGAGGTGAGAAGCTCTCCTCTACCACATCTTTCTGCTGTGATGTTTCTGCCTCACTATAGACCTGACCACAAGCTGAACCCATGAGTCAAGAATATACCTTCCTCCTTTAAGTTATTTTTCTCAGGTATTTGATCACACCAATGAGGGCTAACACCCCATAAATACTTTCAACAAGGTAAAGCGAATGAATATTCAGTGAATTATAACAAACACCTGGAAAGTGTAGCAAAATAATTTTGTATTTATCACAATACCCAAAGTAATTGCTCTTAAGATTTTTCATCCCAGAAAATTCCCAGATGTTTTGGAAAACCGAGCTGTTAATATTGGAGTCTGTTTTTAAATGGAGTGCTCTTGAAATGAGCATGACAATGTTTTAGAAGCTGAGTATTTACATTCAATAAATCACTAGGAGAATTGAGAAACACTAAGATTAAGACATGATCAATATATGACTAGTCACAATATGGAAGGAAGTAGTAATTTTATAAGAACCAGGGTGAATATTTTTGCTGTGTTTTCACATTCCCAGCATTATCACTACTTAATAATTTGATAAAAGCTATCATTATGGAATACTCACTTTGTGCCAATTACATATTAAGTACTTTAATAACATCATATTTAATCTTTGTAACATTGCATAAATTGGAGAGTTAAATTGTGGTAAGGTGAAGTGGTACCTACAGTCATATAGCTTATGAATGGCAGAAGTGGATTTGAGGCTATGTCTTAATCAGGGCTGATATATGAGTTTAACCCAACACACACACACACACCTCCTTTAGAATATATAATCTGGGAGAAATATTAAATTATTATTAAGGAATATTCCTACTATAAGCTACTTAATTATGAGTAAATCTGTCCTTGCATTTACTACACATTCAGGACATTATAGTTAGGTAGAATTTTGCCATTACAAAGAGCCCACTGGTGTTTTCATTCTTGTCTTCTGATTTTAGCAGGCTTAATTAGTTCTGACAGGGGTCTGATTTGAGTGCTCTTGCAGAAAGTTTCAAGAAGCATTTAATGTTGGAGTTCTTAAATTTTCTTTGTGTTAATAAGTTCTGGGCTCCATGATCCTACCTGGGCTACTGGAGAGAGCAGGGCACTGTCTTAGTTAATTTTCTCTCTGCTGAGACAAAATACTTGTCACTTGCAAGTTAGAGGAAAGGTTTATTTTAGCTTATTGTTTACAGAGATTTCAGTCCATACTTGGCTGACTCCAAGGCAGGGTGGCAGAGCAAAGGGCATGGAAGAGGAGAAACAGCTCATGGCAGGCGGAAGGCAGCAAGCAGCGAGCAGCAGTCTGTCCTTCCTCTCTCCCTTGACTGGTGACACCCAAAACTAGTGTGGGGTTTCCATTATTCACACCCAGAACTATGCTAATTCCAGTCAGTGGACTAATTCAATAGTACACATCTTAGGGTGCTATTAGCTAGCTCTGAAAAGTGCCACAGCACATGAGGCTGCGGAGGGACAATGTAGATACAAACCATGACAGGCACCTTCTGCAATGACCACATTTATAAAAATAAGCCCTACAAAATCAAAGTCTTATGCCATATTTCAGGACAATGAATTAATATTTATATGTTTCAAAAGCTTCCAAAGAAAAATATATCTGACCTGAAAAAATGTACATGCCCTGAGCCATAAAAATCACATTAACTTAAGACTGTGCTGAAATTTACATGTTTTACTGGTTTATTGAATGATACATCACTTATCAGCAGGGCCACTTCAGCCCTGTGGTAAGCTGGGGCATAAATGGAATTGTAGAGAGAGCTATTCAGAGCCTTATAAACACTGAACATTAAACAAAAAGACACAGTTAGTTTTCTTTCTTTCTTTTTTTTTTTTTTTTTTGTCTTTTTCATTTTTATTGGTACTGGGGATTGAACTCACGACCGCCTGCTTGCAAGGCAGGTGCTTATGCCGCTGAGCTAAATCCCCAGCCCCCCACAGTTAGTTTTCTAAGGATGCTTAATTAAGCCAACTTGTCAGCAGCCATATTGCAAGAATCAGGACACAGGTCAGGACACAATACCTGCTCCTTGCAGGTAATGAATTTGGGTTTATATCTCCCAAAAGGACAATTTTTTTTTGTAGTGTGGGAACTGAATTAAAGAACTTAGGTATGGTAGGTGTTATGATTGATACATTATGTCAACTTGAAAAGTTTAGAAATTTAACTAAGAGACACAGCAGGGAGCTAAGATCCTAACTTTGTAAATATCCACAGCCTGTGCAAAAGGAGAGCACAGGGTGTGGAGGGTAGCCTGCTTACAATATCAGGGAGGGTAAGAGGCTTGTTCCCCTCTTTTGTTCTGGCTGCTTTTTCTGGCTGCTGTCTTGGAGTGTTGCCTTGGTGCCATGCTATCCTGACTTGGAGCCAACCTATTATGGACTGAAACCTCCACAAACAGTGAGCTAAAAAAAACTTTTCTTCCATCATTTTGGGTGCTGGGTATTTTGTCCCAACAAGAGAAAAGTAACTAAGACAGTAGGTAAGTGCTCTACCACTGAGCTGCATCCCCAGCTAAGACAGCATTCTCATCTAGCCTTTTATCAGAGGCAAAACCCTGTAATTTGTATGGCAGACTTTCACTATATTACATATCATTACTGGTATCATATCTGATACCAGCAGTAGGAACATATTCTTAGTTGCTTTTTTTTTTTTTTTTGAGATGAGGTCCTACTATGCTCCCCAGGCTGGTCTTTAACTCCTGTACTCATATGGTCCATATTCTCACAAGGAGCACCTTGTCCTGGTGACTGAAGGCTAACGCTTTGAGAAGGAAGCTATGTTTAAGAGCCGTATCTTCTGTGGACAAGGTGAACTGGATCCCACTAGTACATGCTTTCTAAGGTAAGGATGGAGGTCCTCAAATGAGGCAGGGTGGGGGGATGAATACATAGTTGCTTTAGTTCCAAGGGACAAAGAAGAGGAGGAAGGACACTGATAAGGTTGAGTCCTCCCTGAAATCAAATGTAAATTATTAAAAATGTGAAACAAATATAAAATGTAAATGTCCAAAATGTAAAGTCACGGTCTATAATGGAAATGCAGGCTGCAATGAGATGCACTAAGACAAACCGTACCCACAACCAACATGTTAAAAGGAACATGATGACGCTCACCTTCTGGATGTCTTGTGCCGTTTCTGAAAAATGAAAGATATTTTATTTCAAGTTTGAGAATTAAAATGTACTTCATTTTAATTTAAATAAGCACTAATATTTTTTATAAGACTTACAGACTTGTTGCTAATATTTAAAAGCCAAAGAAGTCTTGTCCCTTTGGACCTAATCTTCAAAATTGCCTTTCCCTTATCCCAGTTATGTACTTTTGACTCTAGTAGAGCTGTACTACATTATCTAAGTCTCAGGGATTCCAAAGAGTATGTTACAAAGTTCCAAACACTTCCAAGCAAAAATTTGCACTGAAAGAAAAATGCTCACATCAGCCATAAAAACCCCATGAGGACAGGAGAATGCTCCTGTGGGTTTTCAGACACTTTACTGACTTCCAATGAATGGTACAGCCATTATCAGCAGGAACTCCTTGACCCTGGGCTGAGGACTATGGCCAATGGACCTGTGGGCCCAGGTTTACGGTCATATCCTTATAGACACTATTATAGGTAGTCTGATTATGTGTGTCTTATCTTTAAAAGCTGTTTAATTGTGGAATAAAACAAAGCACTTCTCTTCCCATGCCCATCTTTCCCTGGAGGAACCACTGTTAACAGTCTCATGCTCGTCCTTCCGGGTCCCAAGGGCAGTGGTTGTTATTTAAATACGCTTCCCATACACAACACTGCATTTTTGGCAATTTATGGACACTCCTGATAGTAGATAGAAATGGACTTCGTTCTTTTTAAAGTTGCAGAATATTCTTTTATAGGTATGGATGTACCACAGTTTATTTACCTGTTTGTCACTAGATGGGCATTTTGTGTAATGCTCTATCACGAATGCGGCAAAGACTGCACACATACCCAGATACCTTTATACCTGTGTGGAGTGAGTACTTCTATAAAGGCCTAACAGTGATGTGTTGGGTCAAGGGCAAGTGTCATTGTGAATTTAAATGGGCGCCACTGAATTTTATTCCTGACAGGTTCACAAATGCAGTAGTTCTGTAGGGCCTGTTTTTCTTGTGTCTTTGGCCAAGCTCATAGCTTCCCCATCCATGTATATTATTTAAATAGATACTTTTAAAAATTATAAACATGAGTTTAAAATTTTGTTGGTACTTTGTTTCTTCTCTGGAGTTGCCCAAATATACTTGTGTGTGTATATCTGTGTGCCTCTGTATGTCTATATGTATATATGTGTGCATGTATATGTATATATACATTAAATGGGTCTTTAATGTCTCTTTTTGTCGAATGGAATTTCTTTACAAAATAGGAGCATTGATTTTTCATGCCTGTCAGACATGTTGCATGTAATTTATGCCATTTGTCGTATTGTATATATGTTGCCAAAGTGGACGCCATTTGTCACATTTTAAAATGCCACAATTTGCTTATAGAACTTCATCTTTCTGTTATACAATCATTGAGCCTATAAAGCTACAACTCACCTGACAGTCTTTTGTGTGTGTGTGTGTGTGTGTGTGTGTGTGTGTGTGTGTGTGTGTGTATGTGTGTGTGGTTTGACTCAGGATGAACAAGAATGAGAAATGAGAAGACATTTAGGTACAGATGCTTACCACTGGTCTTCAAAACTTTATGTGATCTTGAGGAAGGTTCTGGGAGGAAAATAAAGCCAGCATCATTTGCGGAACCAAATAAAAAATTTTCCCTTATTAATTACTAGTTTATAATAAATTAGATGAGCTCTAGAAATTTCTTAACAAATTTACTTAAATTCCATTGCTTAGAAATATTTAGTGACATGAAATTCGCTCTGTTGGAAGCTCGATAGGATTACTGTTAAGGAACCAGACGTCACATAACAGAAAGGCAGAATGCTACTTTCCAAACTATCACCTAGTAAAACAACTTCCTTTTCTCTAAGCTGTAACTTTTAATTTTATATACTATGCCACATGCGTGTCCCAAGCTTCTGACTAAACAAACTCTACATGTCCAATCACAATTCACCATCATGGGCCTCAGAGTATGATCAGGACAACACTCTAAATTTTCCTGTTTTAATCCATTATAGTTTTGGGGGCTCCAATAATGCTTTACCCCAGTACCCACTCTTTGAATCCAGGCTTGTGTCCTCTCTCCTCTAGTCTAGCATGGCAGCCTCCCTCCCGGTCTCCTTGCCCACCTCATCCCCCACATACAGTCAGACTTCTTTCTTTAAAATGCAGCTATTCTCATAGTTCATTGCTTCTGATCCTTCATGGATTGCCAAGCTCAAACACTTGACCTGGCCCGCTAGGCCTTCCTGTCCGCTTGACTCCATCTCATCTTTTTCCATTGTATCTGCCCTGTCCAACTCAGGCTCTCCCAGCTCCAGCCCATATACACGCTGGCAGGAGGAGCTGCTGGTCTCAGTTGTGCTGGTGGAAGGCTCAGGGCCTCAGCATTATAATTCTGTCCCTTTGGCCTCTCAGCTCCAAATCACTGGAGGACACCAGATAACGCGTTCTTTACACCACGAAGGCTTCTCTCTCCTTCCTAGGTTTATCGACACATGCCTCCCCCAATCTCTGCCATAACACTGTTACACAAACAGGTATTTATTATTTTCTGTCTCCTACCGTGAGCTCTGTGCAAACAGGAAGCACATGCATTACTGATTCTTGTATTCTTGTCCTCAGCAAAGCATAAAATAGGTGCTTAATAAATACTGATTCAAATGAAATTGAGATCCCAGGGTAGGACAATGCTTCATGGAGTCGGGTTTAGCAAATGTGTATTCTGACCTTAGGCGTGAGTAATTCTTTGTGTGTGTCATTCACAGGGCATAATTTAATTAGCAACCACAAATAGAGTTTTCCTAATTGCATGCCAATGTAAGATGCTGCAGAAAGCAAAATTAGTTGATGTATATGTTTTGTATTCATGGAAAAGATGGAGTTATATGGGAAGGAGAGAGTTAAGTACAAAAAGAGTTTAAAACAAAGGCTGGAGAGTTTTGCTTCAAAGCAGCCTCAGATGTACTCAGATCAACAGTAAGCTCAAAAAACACAGAAATTGTCTTTCTGTGGTCCTGAAAGCAACTCTCCCTTCCAGTGCCCATTAGTATAATATTGTCATCACGTTTACCAGACTTTCTTCTCAGTCGATATGGTGCAGAACCTTCTTTTGAGCCGCAGAATGTTTTTGTCTCCCCCTCAGGGCTGTAACAGAAGCCTGGATGGTCTGCAAAGATGACCACAGTACAGGTCAGGGTGAGCGTTTCTGAGAAAATGGCTAGAGCTTGTTTTAGGTATCGATATGTTTACTCTTTTGCGTCAGACACAGGTGAGGCTCCTGAGCCCCTGTCCTGCATCTGTTTTTCTGCCTTTCTTCCCCTCCCCCATAGCCTTCTGTCTCCATCCTTAGCAGGAGCTGTCAATCACCAGCTTTGCTTTCCTAGAAAGATAGTTCCATTTATGTCTCTGTGGCAGGCATCCTTCAACATAATCACTCTTAATACGTTCCTAGACATTATCCCATTAAGCATCTGATGAAAGCTTTAGACTCTTTTACCAGGAAAGAAAATTTTGTTCAGTTTTATTGAGTTTATATCTTTTACTTGGACTTTGGATTAAGGCATTGTGATCTAACGCCAATGTAGGGGCGTGTGTCCAGCAATCATCTGCACCCCGAGGACTCAGGGACAGCACTCTGAGGACACAGCCACACACACATGTTCCTCAAGTTATGGCCAAGGTGCTTCAAGGGGGTCTCAAGTTGAGACCCTAAAAGCCACACACAGCTCTGGGTCAGGCCAGGTCACCCGAGCGAGGGCACCCTGTGCAAGTGAGCCAGGTCTAAACTTCCAGGAGGACACTGCCTCCAGCACAGCTCCCCTGGGCTCAGGCTGGGTGCGAGAGATGAATGGCACAATTTAAGGACTCGATCTCCAGTGCTTGCTCAGAGCCCGGCTGAAGGTAAATCATCTTGTGGAGCGGAGCGAGTCCCCACGGCAGCTGGCTTCTCTATGTCTACTTCTTTCTCCATCTGGCTCCTAACATGCATCTGCTCACCCATGACCCAATGTCTTCACAACCTTTTTCAAAACCTTAAGGCAATTTTGGTGGAATAAAATGTGGGGATTTGGAGAATACAGATCCCAATAGGAATCACTTATCAGTTTCGCTACAGTGGCAGGGCAATGCCCTCGTGTCCCCCTCCCTGGTGTGTTTCTTTTATTCCGGAGGGTTAACATGTGGCAGGCGAGAGGGGTGAGGAAATCAATGTATGCTCTTGGGAACACATTCCTTAGGACTAAGGTATGCTGAAAGGTTTAAATTAGAAGTACTTTATTTATTTTTAATGCTTTTAAAAAAAGCTTTAAAAAGTAAGCTGAGTTGCCTACACTGGCCTTGAACTTGCAATCTACCTGTCTCAGCCTCTGAGACTGCTTAGATTATAGGCATGTGACACCATGCTTGGCTAGAAGTGTTTTAAATAAAAGTTTTCAGCAGATGCGGTCATGAGTTTTGTAAGCCACTGTTTTCTCTTTTTATTCTCAAATCTGAGAGTTAACAAAGATGCTAGAACTGGTACTGAACAAGGCCTTATTTAATAAGAAGGACCTGACATACCTATTCTCTGATTGCTTTTATAAGTTTAGACATACAGGGTGCTGGGGGTTTAGCTCAGTGGCACAAGCAATCTGCCTGGCAAATGCAAGGTCCTGAGTTTCATCCCCGGTACCAAAAAAAAAAAAAAAAAAAAAAGAAAAGAAAAAGAAAAGGTTTGAGATACAGTCACAAATGTGGGGTGGTTTTGATTTTTAGAATTTTGTCCTGCATCAGAAAAATCAGGGAATATCACATTGTGGGGATTCATGCCACTAACTAACGTAGTATTTATGGGCCAGGGTGAAGGGGGACCCATTGTGGAGCCTTGCTTTTTGGTGGAGGAGGAGGTGGGAGGCAGAGCTGGTGCTGGAGGTGCACTTGACATTGTCAGTTGTTACAGAAACCTAGACATGTGGCCAGTCACCGAGTGGCCCACAGACAAACCATGAGAATCAATGTAGAAACAGCTCAGTGCAGCGTCTGTAGGGGATTGGAATTTTTGCTCTGTGGGATACAACAGTGAGTGGAGAGCTTTTGTTTTCTTACAACTGACTGACATAAACTTTAAGATTGGCAAGGTGACAGACACTGCACAAGTAGGCAACAACAGTTCAAATCACACTAAGGAGACAAAACTTACGAATGGCATCCATTTCAAGTATTGCTTGCTTGGCCTGAAAGAGAAAAAGTGTAGCTATAATTGCGATCTTTATTTTTCTTTTTTAAACTACCAATCCTGACACAGATCTTACTCCAGCCAAATGGATTTTTAAAAACTTTAAAAAACCCAATGTTTCTTTTAGGCACATAGTTTAGGTACATAGTTCAGGGGCTCCAAGCAGATGTGTGCCTTCACGAGGCCATGGATATTGCCGGACCAGAGCACCAGAGCTAAGATTGTACCTGCTCTGACCTGGCTAAAAGAGAGAGGAAGGGAGAGGCTGGCGGAAGCCCAGCTGCGGATCAGGGCCCACCGGGACGTTTACTAAGAAATGTGGAGTGCTGCTACCCGACCATTGTCTGCTGACTGGAAAGTTCAAGGGATGGAGCTGGGGTCCACACTGCCAAGTCTCTCCAGGTCTCTGGGGGTGGTGGTGGTTAGAACTACAGTCTTCCCTCTGCATTTATGGGGGGCTGGCCCCCAGACCACTCCTATTCCCTGCCAAGGATACCAAACCTGAGGACCTCAAGTGCCTTATAAATATTGCACAGTATTTGCACACATACAGCATCTTGTGGACTCTACTCATTTCTAGATTGTTTAGAATGCCTAACACAATAGAGCAGGAATAATGACAAGACAAAGTCTGTGCAGGTTCAGGGCAGGCAGCTTAGTGCTTTCCCCATATTTCTGACCCGATGTTGGCTGAATTTGCAGACGCAGGACCACACAACCAAGTGGGCTGGGCAACAGCGGCTGGAAATTTATGGCCACCTCCTTCCTTCTCCTGAGTGCCATGAAGTGCTCACTGGCCAACTAACCCTGTTCTCTGTGCTCCCCTGCACCTCCCATCTCTTTGGGTGTCCAGAGGGGAAGTAAGAGCCATCCCATGTCAGGGCCAGGGCTGTGCAGGGCACAGTCTGTAATCCCCGCTCTGGCACAGGGCCAGGCGTGCTCTGACTGTGCCTCCTCAACTCAAATGGGATCAGAGGCCCCACCGTCCAGAGCTGCCATGAGGCTCGAGTGACAGGTGGTCCCTGACAGCTGCCCCTGCCCTCCGGGCACCCAGTGCCTCTCCTGTTCTCAATGTTCTCCCCACCTCAAAGCCATTTTTTGGAGGCCCAATGCTAGGGTCTTATTTTAATTCTTATCGTTTCCATGTGTTCTGTATAGTTATAGGATTATAAAAAAGTAAACTGATTATCCTGACCAATCATTTTGCCAACGCATTCAAGAAGAACCAGCCTGAGTAGCCTTTCTTGCTTCTTCAGTGTCACTTTCATTTGTTAAGGGAAGTAGTAATTACACTTAAGCCACTAACACTATGCTAAAAGTAACTTTAAAAATAATTTCATGGGGGCTGGGGATTTAGCTCAGCGGCATAAGCACCTGCCTTGCAAGCAGGCAGTTGTGAGTTCAATCCCCGGTACTGATAAAAACGGAAAAGACAAAATAATAATAATAATAATAATTTCACTCCTACTTTGCTGCAGTCTTGATATCACAATATGTAGTTAGGCTGAGAGGTAATCATATTCAATTTTAGAAAGTCTATTCATGTTTGGGGAAGCCTCCACAGTCACCTTGACTTTTAAAAAACAAACACATATATATTTTTGCACTTATATTTCTAGTGTACATTCAGGATTTTAAGGGAATTGATTTTAAATACAAATGATAGCTCAGTTTCTGGGAAGCTTGTTTCTAGAACCACATTAATGCGTAAACTGAAAAAATATTTACCTTTGCTTTAATCTCCATTAATTTGGGCAAGAATTCAGTTTACATATCATATATTTGGAAATGTGGTTAGCTTCGATAATTTCCTGGTATTTTCTCCCTAAATCTGTTTAATCTAATACAGTGCTATTCCCAAATATTCCACTAGATGGCAGCCAAGGACCATCATGGGGTTAAAGGGCCGCGCAGAGCAGAACAGGAGTGAAAACATCTGTGTTGACATCACTGACCCTGTGATCATTTTTCTGATGGTGAAAATGTCCTATTTTGCATATCTTTGACTTCACAGAAATAAATGTCTTAAAAACTTCAACAGTTTCAGAAATAATATTTTTAAAAGATGTAGAAAAAGCTCAATTTAATAATTTTGCGTAAATAAGATAGGAAGTTATTCTAACAACAGATAAAGAATGTTAAATATTGTGTGCTTTCCATGCTGGAGGGGACAAAATAATTAAGGAGCTCTTTGAAGCCAAGAAGACTTGGGTTTGAATCTGGGTTCACTATGTCCTAGTTAAACCTGGGCAATTTACTTGCATCTCTGACTCTTTATTTCTCTAAAATGGGAAGAACAAGCACTCATGAGATGTTTTTCGGAGAATTAAATAAAAGCATGAAGTCCTTAGCACATCATACTGTACACATCATAGCTTCAAAATCAGTGTTTAGATTCCCAGTGGGTCAGCAGCTTGCTGCCACTGAGCTGTCTGAAGTGTTGCAACCCAGAAAGCAGAGGCCGCACACCTGGGCAGGGAGAGCTCAGCTATGTAAGCTGGCCGGGCTTTGTCATGGTCTGTAATTGCCTTTCAGAGCCTCTTTAAGAGACTGTGACTTTCCCAGGAGACTCATAATCGGTGGGTGGGGCACTTCCTAGGGCGCTGCCCTGGCCTAGAAGGGCATCCAGAGGCCTCGGCCAGGGTGCCCATGACAAACCTGAAGAAATGCAGTGGGTTCTCTTGGGAGCACCCTTCCTCACAGTTACAGTGCCCTGATGCAATGGAACCAGCCTCTGTTGTCCTGTCATCAGGCACACACCTTGGCACTCATCTCCTGAGTTCCTAGCCACTGTGGGCAGCTCCTGAGTACCAGCCTCAAAACCTCACCAAAATAGAGGGCAAAACACTCCTGTGTCAGGCCTCTGTGTCTTCTTGTCTTTCCACCCAGTCCTACTGTCCCGATTAGGACCCCACTTCCTCTCCACCTCGGTCCTCCCAGCCACAATAAGGAGCACCCCACAACCCCTTCCTCGACTGCCACCAGCTCTCTAATCTCCTTTTCCTCCACTCCAGCCCTGTCTGCTTCCCAGCTGTCTCCTCTCCACTGATCTGGAAATCACGGCAGCTATCTGCAGCACCCGCCCTCCTTTGCCCTGGGGACCCAGCCCTGCTGTCCCGTGTGTGTGTCTCAGCCACGGTGCCTGAAGTGCGTGTGAGCACTGCTTCAGCTGGGTCTCTGATGCTTTTCATGAGCGATGTCACTGCTAGTGACGAATCCATTTTCTTCTGCAGTGGCTCTGAACCTTTCCACCTTCATTCAGAGACTCATCCCCTCCCTGCATCAACCCCCCATGGCCATCTGTGACTCCAGCTTTGTGGGTCCCCTGGTGCCCCTCGCCACATTCTTTTGCTTTCTCTCTCCGGGCTAGGGGAAGATGTCCAACCCTTTCTAAGACTCCCTCCTCCTCCTGCACCATGACCCCAGGTTTCCTCCCAACACGCAGCTTCCCTTCTCCTCCCAGGGCCCACTGACCCACAGCACTAGCTTTTACTGAGACAGAAAACCTGGCTTTGATCTGGCCTCTCTGAAAACCCTCACCATTTTTCTTTTCTGAACTTTGTGCAAAGAAGAATGTCTGCAGCAGCTTGGTCTTCATGCCCCCCCTGCTCTTCCACCCACTGTGATCGGGTGGCTTCCCCTCTGGATCTCTCCTGGCCTCCGCCAGGCTCCCCCAGCCCTCCCTGCCATGCTGACCCTTCTCCCCTGCTTTCGCACCGCCTCCTGAACCCTCTAGCTGCTCCCTGTCCTGCAAATCCCTTGTGGGGCTCCCGGGGTCTCTCTTTCCCTTTACATTCTTGTGGGCCAAGCTGTCAAACCGCAGGCCTTCCGCTGTCTCTCCTGATCCTCAGCTTCCAGAACCTGAATTTCCACCTGCACAGGTCCTGTCCTGCCCACTGCTCCTCAGCCCCTGTGGAACTGGTTCGCCTCCCTCCTGGGCCTCTCTGGGAGCTCGGACACCAGGCTCTGGGTACCACTCCTGCTGCCCATGGTGTGTGAAATCCTGTTCCTTCTGTCACTGTGCTCCACGGCCAGCACTCTTTCTCTCTTACCATTCAGACTCCCTGGTGTTGCACCCCAAGCCTCCACCCCGGCACCCCCTCCTGCCTGTCTCCCCAGAACACCCAGGCACAGTGGAAAGGGTGCTGCTCTCCCTGTGTTCAGGCCTCTGTTTTTGTTTACCCTCTTCTCTCAGCCTCGGGTTTTTTCCCTCCCCCATCCCCCTAATAAAAACATTCCTCATCCTTCAAGAATCAAGTAAAAGGCATTTTCCTTCCTCCCACATTCAGCTGAACACTTTGTCCTTCCGCGACACCTGGCTTATAGCTCTGTGACTTCACCACGTTGAGCAAACAGTTCGGGGTTCACGGCAGCTACCTCAGCCATAAATTCCTTCATGGCCAGGCCTGGCTCTGTCCCAGGTGCACCCACACAGCATCCTGCTTGGCAGGTTCCTAGGACCCCTCTTGCTTATTTCTCATCTCTTATTTTCTCTTTGTCTTTTTTTTTGAGTCAGTCTTTCTACATAGCTCCACCTGGCCTCAGAGTCATGATCCTCTTGCCTCAGCCTCCCGAGTGCTAGGATTACAGGTGTGTGCTGTCACCCCCAGCCTCTACTAGTTTCGAGAAGCTTCCTTATATATCCTTTGTTTTTTCTTCTTTCAGTCTCCAAAGGAAAAACAGTAACATACTTACAGCCCAGAGTCCACCACACGGGAATCTCTGGTATAAAGGACAGGTGTAGCTGCCTGCTAAGTGTCTAACCTCTGCAGTGCTGTTTTGAAGCCTCGCCCTGCAGCCCAGCAGACACCCCCCCACCCCGAGCATCCCCGCCAACCCTGTACCCCTAGCCTTCTCTTACCTTGGCTGGAATCTTGGCTGCGTGGTTCTCCAGGATTAGCCTCTTCAGGTGCAGAACCCAGAGGCGCTTGTCCTGCTGGGATTTAGCCTAGGGGGCAGATGGGGCAGTCAGACACCGGACAACTACGCCCCTTCAGCCTCTGATAAGTGGGGAGACACACAGGCCGTACGGGCCCCTCTTACCTGAACTGTGTGCTGCACCTTGGGGTTCTTGTAGTGGAAGACGCTGAAGCTGAGCGGCTCCTTGGGTATCACCTCCACCAGCATGAGGTTGCCACACTGAACAGGGGGAGCACAGACGTGAGGCAAGCCTGGGCAGGCACAACAGGGGCTCCCCAGCCTCGCCACCTACCAGGATGTGAGCTTTGTATGTAAACGTGTCGTCCCTCTTCTTCGTGATGAGGAGCAGCTTGTCCAGAAGGAAGAGCGTCCGCTCGTTCTTGGCCCGCTGGAGTCGGAAGGTCCCTTCCAGCACCAGTTCCCCGTAGCTGGTGAGGTCTGGCCCCTTCCAGTTAGTGAGCAAGCTCTGTATCTCCTGGGAAAGGGAAGGTCCCAGGTCAAATGGAGGCCAGGAGCCAGGAGCCGGGGCCTGGTGGTCCTCGCGTGGGCCTCAGGAGTGGTGACTGTGGTCTAGGATATAAATCTGTGTGCACGAGTGGTGCCATGAATCAACCTGCTGGCATCTGAGCTGCCGATTATTTATTTCCTTACTAATGGCTGCACTGTGGAGGTACCAGCAGTCACAGCTTTCAAAAGCTGGGTAACTGGGCCACCAACACGAGACCTTCTTGGGAAGACACTGATTTCCCACAACTTCCTCACCCCTCTTCTCTGGTGACTTGAGACAGAGCAGTTGACTTGTGTTTATTTTTGAGACAATGTCTCACTGTGTTCAGGCTGGGCTTGAACTCACTGTATACACTAGGCTGACCTAGAACTTGTGGTGACCCCGTCTCAGTATCCTTAGTGTGGGGATTACAGGTGAGTTTCCTGATTTTAAATTCATTTATTTAGGGAAAGGAAATGAACATCTGTCTGTAACTATGTCTTAGTGCTTCTATAGGAATCTGATCAATATAATGTGGTAAAGGCCTGGCATTTCTTTAGGATTTACTGTATGTCAATGTCAATATCGTACATCAGTATTTTTTAAGTCAGCTGATTTTATTATTTTGAAAAATGAAAATCTAGGCACCACTTAACAAGGGAAGCCTCTAGAAGAAGAAGAGGATGATGATAATAAATTCGCTGGTTAAAAATAGACCTAGAGATAAGTTTGAGACACTGTCTGATTTCATGGTGTTTTCAGAATCTCACACAGAGACACAGGGTATGAAATCCCAGGCATTTAGCCATGTCTGGCTATGCAGTAACGTCTGACATGATATCTGTGGAACACTGGCTAGCTGAGCAGTAAACATTTTATTACTGGTGCAAAAAACAGACCTGACTTAGAAGATCAGACTCTGGCTTTTGACAGTTAGGGGCTTCATACCATACTCTGCTGCGTGTAGAGAAAACCAAGTGTCTGTTCTGACCTAAAAGCCACAGAATACATCTTTCTCGCTGGGCGAGGTGTGGGCACGCTGCACGGCGCACGGCCACTCTTTGCTTTTCTGTCTCTCCCCTAGAGGCCTAGAGCTGGCTGCCTGTGTGACCTTTTTATTATTAAACATTTTTTATTAGTACAGACACAGTACACAGTGTTTACATTCCTTGGGTGGAGATGGTCTCCATATGTAACACATCTGAATTCCCTTTTCATTCCCCTTCTCTCCCCTCCCTCCCACTCTAGATCCTCTTCCCACTTGGGGAAGGTCTGTCTCCCTGCTTTGTATTATCTATCTTTTCTTTTACTCTTTATTTATATTTTGGGTTTCTCATTTAAGAGAAACCATGCCGTATTTAAGCTTGGATGTCTGATTTATCCCACTAAACATTGTGATCTCAAGATGCATTCATTTTCCTACAAATGACTCAACTTTAACTTTCTTCACAGCAGAGTAGTACTCCATTGTGTGTAAATACCACATTTCCTTAATCTACTCACCCTTTGATGGGCACGTACCATTTTTAAGGTTTAGGTATTATGAATTGTGCTGCTACAGACACAGGTGCATATGTATCACTGTAGTACGCTATCTTTTAACTCTTTTGGGGAGATACCTAGAAGGGGGAATAGTGGGGTCAAATGGAATTTCTAGTTTCAGTTTTTGAGGAGTCCCCATAGTGATTTCCACTGGTTTGGATTCTTACTCATAGTGTGGAAGGGAGCCCCTTCCTCAGAGCCTCACTGGCATCTGTTACTGGATTTCTTGATGATGGCCACGCTTTGTGCAGTAATATGGAATCTCAGTGTTGTTTTTATTTCTGTAATGGCCAGCAATGCCGAACATTTCATGTGTTTACTGACTATTGACGGAACATTCTGAGGCACTCGGGCCCTGATACTTGGTGTAGCATCCATCACCACTTCCTGAGGATTTAGGGCTTCTGGTGTTGCTGCTGGATGGAACCTGGGCAAATCCCTCATTTGTGGTCTCATTTTAAAGGTGAAGAAAGTAAAATGATGTGCTTGGGAGTCATTTCTCAAGTGAAAGAGCGATGGCACTGACTCAGCCTTTATTACCGTCCCTGAGTGCCTAACCCTGTGACAACACACACACACACACACCTCATCTCAGCATTGTGCATGAACAGTAAGAGAGAACAGAGGCTCAGAAGGTCTTTAAGTCATTTAGAGAAAGTTATTTTCAGCAAGAACTACTATAATAAATAAAAGATAAGACCTTGGGAGACTCAAGTCATTGAAGGGCTGTGAAATGAACTGTTGGCTTAGAAGTTACAACGTGATGCTGTCATAAACAGCTGCCCTAAACAATGATCCCTGCTGTGGACGTCCTGACCTCTCTTCAGGGAGACCTACAATGCATACCTGGAAGGCGGGTCGCACTCGTGCAGTCTGAATACCCACTCTGGAAAATGATGACTTATAGGACACCTGCAGCGCCCCCAGGCACGGATGCTGCCCTGAGCTCACCTGCAGCCGCACCGCATGCTCGTGCTTCCGCTTCATGTCATTGATGTGCCAGGCCACACGCTGCATTGTGTCTATAGCATCGAGCACCACGTCATAGCCATCGGTGTCCTTGTCCAGGTGATTTTCTATTTCCTTAAAACAGAAAACAAACAAATACAAACTTACTTTCCATTTTTTTAACCTCAGTCAAGTATAAAACAGATGGCATCTCTCTGATTAGTTCCTTATATTTTATTTTTGCTTATTTCTTTGCATACTACCATGAACCTTTAAGATTCTGAGATAACTTAGCAGAAAAATCTACCAAAAAAAGTAGTAAAGGAGAAATAAAAACAGGGCTATGGATAATAAAAGTAGATTAGAATTCCAGGACAGAATAAAACACTCAGTAAGCCTCACAGAGACACTTAATTATAATGGATATGATAGTTGATCTCAGAGCTTGCAATTTTGAGCTTCCTCATGGCTAGTAGACTATAGTTTCAGTAATATAGTTCCCACACTTATGAGAGAGAAAACTTCTAACATAAGTCTTAGATGTCATGTTTACAGAGTTCAGCAGAGATTTGTCCTTTAAATGTTAAATGTTAAATGTCCATTTAAATGTTAAAAGAAATAGCTCTGATGTGGCTTGAGAGGATGTATTATTCTTCAAAAAGGAGTCTCCCAGGATAGCAGACAAAGCCAAGACATTTCTGGCAAATTTGGATTTAAAGGTTTTGAAATTGCTCAAAATTGCTGAACAAATAGGAAAATGACTATGCAATTTGGAAACCTGGAATAATTTAAAAAGAGACACAGACATATGGAGAGAGAGGAGCTTTGGATTAAAATCTCTTTCAGAAAAGATTTTTAATACAGAATTAAAATGATAAGCCGGAAGCTGGGTGTGGGGGAGCAGCCTGTAATCCTAACACCCAGAGGCTGAGGCAGGAGGACTGCAAGTTTGAACCCTGCCTGGGCAACTCAGCGACTTGCAAGACCCGATCTCAAAATGAGAATATTTAAAAAAGGGCTGGAGAGGTAGTTCAGTGGGAATGCCCTGGGTTAAGTTCCGGGTACGAGAAAACGAAACACAAGCCTATAAACCCTAGCTTATTTTTCTTGCGTGTCTGCGACCTACAGGGACTGTGGGCCACTTGTAGGATTGGGGGCAGGCAGCCCAGCCACGCTGCTCTAATGTCCTTTCTCTGTTGCAAAGGTCAGCAAATCCTATTTACAGAGTGCAAATTACCATCAGTAAAATCTTTTCCTATTTTTTTCAAATGCCTGGGAGAATAAGAAGGAGCTGAGAATTTGAGAGTTCTGTCTATGTTTATTTCCAAAGCTGCCTCCAGTTGTGTAAAAGTAATGGAAAATACTCCAAAGAGGACAATCCCGGAAGTGCTGCCAAGCCGGCTCAGGGGCCATTCACCACGCCACTCACTGTCCTGGTCCTTTCCAGCTCTGCTCTCTGCTCTCACACACAAGTCAATCGATGACAAACAGCTTTTCCTCCCAACTGCCTACTGAAGCAGAACTCATGGAAACAAAATAAAACGGGGGGGGGGGGGGGGATCTGTTTTCCATTTCGATGACAGCTCCCTGCCTGAAATCGCCACTACCCAGCTCGAGGAACTCCTAAGCCCTATCACTACCCGAGCTAAAATTAATCTCTGGACTTGGCTGTGGTCAATGGGGCTGCAGGCCTAGAATATAAATATCTCTAATTCCTCAAAGCAGATTAGTCAGTTGTAAAGTATGAGAGTGGAAAACGCTTCCATATGTCTACAGACTTTCCTGATGTTTCCCCCCTACATTTCAAATACACAGGAAATCCCCAGACCCTGGACAGTGCCCAGGCGCTGGCGGAGGCTCACATGCAGGAGGAGATGATACTTGAGGATCCGCTGAACGGGCTTCAGGAGGTAGGATCCCAGGGGCAGCGAGTGCTTCAGCGTTTCCTGCCGCTCCCTGAAGAACTTGGCCAGCACCTTGTTCCTCATACACTCGGTTAGCACAGCCACTGACCTGCGCGAGGAGCAAATGCTTTTGGTCTCAGTGTAATGTTTTACGTGGTGTTTTAGTTTTTAAGGCCAGGGTTGGTGTAAATGCCTTGACACAGGTAGGGCAGCCACAGAGCTACAGCCAGACTAGTATGCTTTGGGGCAAATTAGCAAATAATGGCTCTCTGGATGGGTCAATTCCAATACTGCACTGCATATTAAGGTGCCAGGGGCTCATGGCTTCTAAGCAGCAAGTTCCTACCTCCTGGAGCCCCAGGCCAGGGCCCATGGCTTAGCAAGAGATCTGAGTTGGATTCTAGCCTCCCAGGTACATGCTGTCTGGATGTCTTTGTGAAGTTTTCATGGTGCACATCTGATTATAAGGTGCAGGCATCCTTTTTGTTTTTTAGGGCTGGGCCTTACTATGTAATTCAGGTTGAACTTTAACTTACTACATAGCTCAGGCGGGCCTTAAACTCAAGGTGATCCTCCTGTTTGTCTCCCACATGCCAGGATTGTAGTGTACACCATCATATCCAGGAGTAGGCATTTTTGTACCAAGCAAAAGGGGTTCCTTCCTGCCAGTAGATGCAGCCTCCTGCCAGAGCATTTGTCACCCTCTGCCAGTGGTCACCTTTGTATAATGTACAAAATGCACACCTGGCCTGGTGGCCTTCCTGGGAGAGCTCTTTCCCGAGTAAGCTCCCTTTCAGACTTTGAACAGATTTCTTTTCTCCTTCCAAGCGCTTCTCCTCCATCCAGACAGCCTCACTCCTTAGAGTGTGGCCTACTGCACGATATTAGAAGCTGCCTCACAATTCCTTCACCAGCCCGCCTCTCCCAGGGGTAAAAGGCGAGCACCAGGGCATCATAAGGGAATGGCTACATGCATATAGCAAGCTGACAGACGTGGGCAGTCACACACCTGCAAATTAAAATCTTGCAGTCTCAGAACAAAGCAAGTGGAGCTGGGTGTGGTTGGTGGTGCACATCTGTGATCTCAGCATTCTGGTAGCTGAGGCAGGAAGGTTATAAGTTCAAGCCCAACCTGGGCAACTTAGAAAGACCCTGTCTTGTAGAAAAAAAATACTCTGGAATGTAGCTCAGTGTGAAAGCTTTGGGTTCAGTCCTTGGTGCTGTAGGATGGAAAACTAAAGGAAGCATGTGGAAATAGTTTCATTCCTTTTTTCTTCCAGGTTATTATGTTTTCAGGATTAATTGTGAAAATCAGACCCAACATAAGACTCCTTAAAAAGTTAAATGGGAGCCTCATAAGTAAGCCATGGAATCCTTTTGGTGTGTGTCTGTTTTCAGAAATACCTGTTCCAATTGCTTTATTTCTCCCTTGAGAAGAGATCTCCATGATCTCCATTACTGGAACTTTTCTAACTTATCTCTGGAGTCCCGCAGGTTAAGCTGCCAGGTAGCTCCATGGCTATGTGGGTGCTGGAGTTGTTGCTGGAGAATTAGCACCTGCTGACTTTCCAGGTTCCCTAAAGTCTCAGGCACAGGACAGACATCTGAGGACAATGACCTGGGGCACCACACCCTGGGCATGAGGGAGGGGCTCACACCTCTTCACAGTGAAATCACTGGGGTGTGACAGGCCTGAGGAAAGAGGACACTTCAACCTGTGTGGTCACATTTACTATCACCAGCCTGGTTCCAAAGGGAAACAGAAATTGTCAGATGGGCCTTGACACCTGGCACCTTTGCCTTGTGAAGATAGGGGAAAGGGAACCCTAGGCTTCAGCAAACTGATTGGAGACGAGAGGACAGGAAGATATTTCTTTGTAACTACAAAGTCACATGAGTGGGCTAGAACTCAACATCTTTATGGAGAACTTGTGAGCTAGGCATACTGGTATATGCTTATAATCCCAGCACTCTGGGAAGCTGAGGCAGGAGGGTTGAAAGTCTGAGTCCAGCCTTACTGACTTAGTGTATCTGATCTCAAAATAAACAGTAAAAAAGGGTCTGAGATATAGCTCAGTGTGAAGGCTCTCAGTGTAAAACTCAACTCCTAGTACTGCAAAATCAAACAAAAACAAAATGACCCTCAAATATACAAAACCCTCCACAAAAACCCAAAACAAAAAAACAGCCCAACACCTTGCAAGTAAGTGTCCCTCTGCTAACCCAGGTTTCTTCAAAGTCAGATTCAAAGAAACCCTTTCTCCTGCAAACAGCCTATAGCAGTCCGCATTGGGCATAATCAATACTCATGTAGCCATAGCTTCTGCTACCTTGGGCTGAGTTCATTCTGTATCACTTTACACTTTACGCTCTCATTTTATCTTCCCTGACATGCTGTTTAACTACTGAATTTAGCTGAGTTCTGATCCTCAGAAACTGAAATCGAGGGCCAGCGGTCCGGATTCCTACAGATCCTATTCCCCTGAACTCGGAGTGTGGGCCAGGCTCTTACACGTGTTTTTGCATAAACAACTCCACCCTTCTCTGGACTCCCAATCAGCCTGTTGTATAAAAAGGCTGCCTTTATTTTGCACTTTCCTTTCTTAGAAAATCTGAATTTGCAATTTGGGAAGTTTCTTATAAAGATGCTATTTCTTCAAACAATAGGTTTATGATGAAATGTACTCAGATATAATCACCCAACAAGCCCTTCTCTCTGCAGATTCTGATTGTTGGGTCCAGAACTTTGTGGATTTTTCTTTTTTTTTTTTAGGTACTGGGAATCAAACTCAGAACCTCATGCTTGCCAGGCAAGCTCTGGGCAAGCTCTGGGCCACTGAGCTAAATCCCCAAGGGCCCTTTGTGTATTCACAAAGCTCCTGAATCATTTCTCCCTTCTCTCTGGAAGTTTGATAGAGAAGCTGAGGGCTGGTTCTGTGATTTCTCTGAATTCGGGGGTGGTGCGAGCTGGTTTGGGCTTCATGACCATGGGATTTAGTCACAGCATCCTGTAACTTCCTGATATCTGAGGTGGAAATGAATTCTGTAGGGGAGAAAACTCCTTAAGTGAAACCGTAAATGATGAGTGTGCCTACAAATAAGGACATGGAACAAAGGCTCAAATTTGCATGTGGGGTTTTGTTGTTCTTTTTTTTGTTTGTTTGTTTTTAAGGGAAATGCGGAAAAAGTACCATTGGTCACCAACCAAATAAATCATCATGGTACAAAATCCTGACCAATATATAGAGAAAGAGTAAAATCCTGCAGTGGGAAGTATTTGTAGTAAGTAAATCTGAGATTCTGGCTTCATGAGCCCTTTAATACAAACTGGCTTTTGGGGGTCACTCCTGAGCATGGGGATTATGCAGGCCTCTCTCTTCTTTTCCTCAGCAACTTTAGGGCTCACCCTGCTGGGCTCTCTTCCATATGAATCCTCCCACCCACTGTAACCTGAGGGACTTGTCCTGCAACGAGTGGCTGCAGGGTGTAAAATTCCCTAGTTCTCTTCTTCCTGACTGGTCCCTGAGACCACTCTAGTCTTGCAAATTGTAGGGGGAAAAAGGGACATACAAAGACACAGAGGAATGACAACATTCAGGCTTTTACAAGAACATTCTGACACAGGACTTGTGGTTGGAGAAACCTTGGTTTCCATGCTGGTGGGGTCGCTATCAGCTAGGTGACCTTCCTGGTTATCAGAGCCTCGGCTGCTTCACCCATCAGATGGAGAGGGGCAAGGCTGGTAGTGAGTTAGCACTCGATGAGAAAGAGCAGCCACCGGGCCTGGGATGGGTGTTTTGCATTTTGCAAAATTTGGAGAAAAAGACAAATGCCTACAGCTGTGGCCCGCTGCCTTGAACCCCTACTGAATGATCATTTACTGCACTGTACTCCTGCACTTCCCTCTGGAGTAGGCAAAACGAAGCCAACAACCCTGGGGAGATGCCCCTGTTTCTCACGTCACCTTGTTACGATCGATTGGTCCTTTCCCTGAATGCTATAAACTTGTATGGTTCTTAAAACTTGCACAGCCAAACCAGAGTACATTCTCTCCCCAGTTAGATTACATAAACCCATAAGCATTGTTTGCCAATCCTCAGAACAAGGTGCACAGAGACAAAGATGAGCAGATGAGCAGATGAGGTAAAGCCTGACGCCTGATGCCTTTAGTTCTCCTTTGCAGATACCTAGTAATCTTCTTGGTCACTGTTAGCATCTTTCACAATGTTTTCCTGTAAGCCCAAAGCCCAAGGGGATTCATCGACACCTGGGACCCCTGCACTCTGTTCTTGGCACGTTTTGTGGTTTCCCACAGTGTGCAGCATAGTGCTTGACAGAGAACACCTGAGGACCCTATGGGTTGCATTTACTGACTTGAAACAACCTGAAAATGATCCGATCCATACCTCGGGTAGTTAGTGCAATACTGGGTATAAATGTGGAACTCTTCACTCTGCAAGGAAACAAAAGAAACCTTTATAGGCAAAAAGGCACAGGTACTAACCTGCAGGTAAGCACAATGAAAGCAGAAGCATTCAGGCCTTTAAGCTTTCTCTCCAATCACATTGCTCTGTCTCCCGAGCCCTGTGGCAACTGCCTGTGTCCATTACTGTGAACCTAGAATCCACATGCACTTGAACTCATTTAAGTCCAATACAGATTAAGTACCTACTATGTTCCAGTGAATATAAAGGCAAATAGGAAGAAGGTAAAATAAAGGTTCTTTCCCAAGATGCTCATGATCCTCTGTGGATGTGCAGTGGGAGGGAACTATAAGTAAGTGACTTAAATGCTGCGCAGTGAGAACATGTTGGAGGTAGGTACAAGGCATGTGAAAGCTGCGGCGCACTTCCAAGGACTTGCATGTACCTTCTCTCTGCCCGCTGCTGTCCGAATCCTCTCCCTGCAGCCATCACGCCTCCTGTGGGGCTGAATGCTGGCTTTGCTTCTTCCACACAGCTTTCCTTCAGCTCTCGGCTGGGCTAACTGCTCCCACTTTGGGACTCCACCACACCCAGAAGTGACCTCTTCGGAAGTACTGACCAAGTGATAGTGACATTTTCTGCTCATGTGTCCCTCTCTATACTAAGCTGGGAATTCCTTGGTGTACAATGTTTGCTAAACTGCTGAACTCCCTAAACAAACTAAAAATTATTTGTGAGCAGGACTCACCTGCACATGTCTAGCTTAGCCTCAAATGCAGTAAATGTGTGGCTGGCAGATGGGAGGTTCTTGCCTTCTGCTGTGAACATATTCCCAATTCCCTAAAATCTTTGTATTTCCATGGCTTCTGAGTCTTCCAGATGGTTGGCCATATTACCCGATATTGGAACATAGTAACTAATACTTTAAATTCTTTAAAAGGGCAGAATCATGATTTTCATGCAAATGTTAAATGAACGCTGTTAAATATTTTACTTAACCTATTAATTAAAGAGGAGAGCAGAAAGATGTTACAACTGGATCAAAAGAGAAACAAAAGTATCACACTGAGGTCAGTGAGGAATGCTGACGTGAAATTACAAATTGATGCAATACTGTTTTTTTTTCTATAGGGATGGGTAAGTAAAGAGACTGTCATTCTGCTGAGCAGAATTTGTGTCTGTGTGGCAAAGGATCCTATGTACTGCTATCGATTATCTGACACAGACAGAACTGTAAAGTAGTTCAGAGACAATGAAGGGTGCAGAGACCTCACTGAATTGTGTAATTTGGAAGAATAAACTGGAAAAAGAGTGTTTATTGGAGACACACAGTACTTTGATGGTTCCCTATGTGGTCAATGGAAAGAGGTACAACAAATAAGTGATGTCAAAAGCTAGGCGAGTTCAAGGGACTTTTCTTTGCCTACCCAGTAAGAAATTTTTATTTCTGTCCCTCAGTTGTTAGCTCCTTATTCTTCCATGAGCAGTAAGTAAGAAGCAACTATACTTTTATTTTGTTTTGTTTTGGTACTGACAATCCAACTCAGAGGTACTTTACCACTGAGCTACAACCTTGCATTTTTAATTTTCAAAGCAGGTCTCTATAAACTGCCCATGCTGACCCTTCAGCCTCCCAAGTAGCTGGGATTCCAGGCATGTGCCCCATGCCTCATTTTTTGTTGTTGCTTTGTTTGGCAGGGCTGGGGACTGAACTCAGGACCTTGCACATGTTAGGCGAGCATTCTATTAGGAGCTATTCGGCCGCTCTGTAATCTTTTGTTGGTAAGACTTTCTTTAACCTACACATACCACAAAAGTAAGCCAGGTCAAAGATGAATCTCTGTGCAAGCCCCAATGACTCAGATAAAAGCAGAAGTCAACTGCCGGCTTTGTCTCTTTTGTTAATGACCTCTCAATTAAAGCAATTTTCCATTCCTCCCTGAACAGAGCAGCTGGTGGTGTTTCAGAAAACGTAACCTCTTCTAAATTTCAGGGTGCTGAGTGAAAAGCAGGTTACGCCAGAACCGAATGCTCCCTCACAATTCCCAGCCCATGTGAATGTGTGGAGTGCTGAAGTTGGTCTTCTAATTAAACTTGGCAAAATTACAATGAAAAATAAGATTTGGGAGTTGGCAACAAGGCACATAAACAAACTTTTATGTGAATAATTAAGCCAGAGCTAAGCATATGCTGGAACATCTTTAATCAGTTTGTGATTATAGTTACCAGTAAAAGCCAAACGTTTCCGAAAGCTTCTATGTTATTTATGTGCTGTGGTTATTTGAACATATCTTCTTTGATATACTTGGCCTATCCAACCATGTCTCCCTATCCATCTTCTTTTTCTTTTTCAAATTCCTGCCCTTTAGGAGAATCAGTTATCACACAGGCCACTTGTGAAAAGAATTTGTGTGTCTAAGCAGCTGTGAACAAACACTTTTTACATGTGAACAGAGAGAGAGAGAGAGAGAGAGAGAGAGAGAGAGAGAGAGAATCAAGAGAGTTTGTAGACAAGCCCATTGGTGTCTTTAAGGAACTTCACCTCAATAAAACCCAGGGTGTTATGGTTCAGATCCATTCAAAGTGTTCCACAGCCATCAGAAATGACACTGTGGAGCAAGTTTGGAGCCAGATTGGGCTGAAACAATATCCTAAATTCACATTGGAATCTAGGGCTCTAAATGAGGTGCTAATTCATGGTTGGTCCCAAAGCACTAATCATGAACTTTTGTTTGTTTTATACCTTTATACAACTGCAGAAACCACACAAAGTTGTATTGCAAAACAGTTTCTGCTACAGGTTTTCCAAACACCAGCTATATTTTTCAAAGAAATTTAAGATAGGATTCTATCTATACCAGGTAGTACATTGAGAAAATAATATAGTTAAGGACTATAAGTTGCAGTATATCCTTTCAAGTTCAAAGCATGAACTTGCTGCCATTAGGCTTTCAAAGTCAAATCCATTGCTTGTATTTTTCTAACCAATGAGAGCAGTTTCATAAAAATGCAAGAAAATTAGAGTGCATTACTGAGATGCAGGAAATCAATTCTGTATCTCTTTATACCTCAAAAGATAATTATAGAGAACAGGCTAGTATCATGTGTATTATATTTAGGTAGCTAGATTCTAAGGGAGTTTTATAACTGGTTTAGTGGCATGTTATGTATTTATTTTTCTAACTATCTTCTTCAAGTTTTTCCTAGGAAAAGGTGAATAAAGCTGTTCCATTATTGTCCAAGTTCTAGGACAACTACTAAAATAGCATCTTTCTCTTCCCAGTAAGAGTATATTTTTTCTTTGTTACTGAAAACAACAATAACAACAAAATCCAGAGAGCTTATTATGTCACTTCAATATGGAACAAACCACTCCTTCTAATTTTAAAATTAAAATAATCTAGAGTCTCAATTTATGTTGGTTGAGCCAACAACAACAAACCCTGCTTACCTTGGACACAAAACATTCTGCTATGGCCACTGGATCATTTTCACAGTTTTCTAAATCTTGTAGAAGTTCACTGAAAAAAAAAAAAAAAAAAAAACCAGGATGCATTAGATTGTAGTCTCATGGTTGAGCACATTTTAACTTAAAAGTTTAAACATCTCTAATGGGATTTATAAGGAATCATATGATTGGACCACTTAGGTCCCTTGTCATTGTGTCCAAGGCTTAGTCAGATAAGGAATTTGCCCAGGATCATATTGGAGCCAAGACTGACCCACAAGTGGGACCAGTAACTCTCCCACCAGAGATAAGCTTTTCCTAACACCAAAGTTTTCCTGTTTGTTAGTGACTGTACAGTCATTCATTCAAACATCTGCTGAGACACACAGTACAATTTAAGACACTAAGAACAGAGAGCAAAATCAGAGAGCAAAATGGGACATGGTCCTGATCTCATGGAGCTCCCAAACTGTCTGGAAGGGGTGGACAGCTAATGCCAAATCACACTAACAATACAAAATTATAAACAGATTTGGATTGTGCTTTAAAGAAAATAAGTATTTGCTGTGACAGGAAATCTCTCTTTTCAAATGTAAATTTACATTACTTTTTAATGGCAGTATCGTCATTTTAAGTAACTGTATAATATCTCATTGTGTAGCTAATACTGTAATTCATTCAACTAATCTAGATGTCTATAAGTGGACTTGCTAGGCCAAGGCTATTCTCAGTGTCAATGCTAGCACATTCTCAAATTGTACTCAATATAAACTGTGTTAATATATATTTTAACATGCTAAGTATTCATTTTAATGTGTAATACATTACATATTTAATAAAAAGTGAAGCAGTTCTACAGTATTACGGTAAAAATCTTGCTTTGTGCTTCTCAATCTCGATGGCCACTGCTGAGGAGCATTTCCAATCCTTTAGGTGTTAAACAGAATGTTTTGTGTCTAAGGTAAGCAGGGTTCAGTTTTGGAGGCCAACCAGGGCAAATAGAGAAAACTTAGCTCCTATTACCCTTACTCAGAAAGCTACTGGATGTTGTAATCTCCCAAAGGAGGAAGCGGGTAGGAAATGGGATCTAAACAGCAGGATGTCCAGCTCAGGAGCCGAGCCACGGCCACCATCAGGAAGGGGCTGCAGAGCAGGCCCAGGAGCCTGGAGTGGAATCTGGGCAGGATGGCGCAGGACACAGGCCTGGACACAGGGAGAACACCAGGAAAGACAGGCAACTGGGGGCTCCCTGATGTTTGGATGCAGTGGGGCGAGATCTCTGCTTCCTGCACTGAGGGTAAATTAGTGGTGTGTACTTTGAAAGCAAACAAAAAGGGCAGGAAAGCAGAAGTGCAAGATAATCTTAAGGGAAAACATCGTTTCACAGGAAAGGAAATCATGGTATATATACAGTTAAACTGAGAATACTATCTCTATGGTCTTAAGATGTAAGTTCATACATTGAACCTTGTCAAATTGCAAAGTAGTTGGACAAGATGGTAGGGAGGAAAGCTTAGGGGGAATTAAGAAATAAACTAGCTAAAACTGAAAAGTAATAAAAATACATCAACTACATGCTGAGAAATAGGGACCTACTTCAGCAGGAACATCTAAAGGGCTGAAGGACAATTTGAAAATGTGCTAGCATTGATGCTGAGAATAGCCGCTGGCCTAACGATTCCATTTACAGAATTTTATTGGGTATTCTGCTGAGACTCAGCAAGTGGCAGTTTCTTAAAGGTCTGTTGGAATCTGAAGGCCACAACTGAGCAGCTTTCAAGCTGACTGTTCGCTCTTGAACTTGGAAAGAATCTTTTAGGACAGATCCAGTTTCAAACATTGTTCCCAATATTCTTATAAAAAACATCTCCGTTGTAAGATTATTTTTAGTTTTCAAAATACAGTTCTGACATTTATATCACTATCTTTTATAGAAAGATGGATGTGATTAAATCAAAAGACATTTGAAATCTGGTCATTGTGACCTGCATACTATATGAGTTAAGAGAAAAGATGGAAAAAAAAGAAGTATCAAAGAAAAAGCATTTTGGAGTGAGTGTTTTCATGACTTGAAGACTGAGTGCTCTGGCTGGAGTTTTCTGTCCGGCTCTCTCTGTATAAATCCTAAACAGAGAAGAATTGTGAGCAGATTCAATCAAGTTTCTTCCTAAAACTGAACAGAAAAGCTCCTTGATCCTATTTAACTCCCTGTGGTCTAAATTGTATGCTCATCATGCACTCTCTGAGCACTAATTTTGCCCTTTAAGTGGACTTGCTCAGGGAAGTGTCTCTGGCTGCCCAGGCTGCAGGTGTATCTACCTCCCTTGTGAGTGAATGAGATATTCATTACTTAGAAGCCACAGAGCCACGAGAGGACTCAGACACCTGCTAGTCCCAAACCCTTTCAAGGTGAGAAAACCATGGTTCTCAAAGAGAAAGTAGTTTATCTTAGGTCACACAGTCCGTAATTAATGGCATAGCTATGGGCAGAATCAGGCTCCAAAATCTAATCCTGTTTTCTATTAAAAACACATCTATTGAAGGCTGAAATTGCCTGATCAACTCAAGAAAGCCAAGAACCAGACTCAGTATCCTAGTGTCTTCCATGGGGCTTCTAGAAGCTTTTCTGGCACTAGCTAGCCAGTCTTTCTTACAACCCTTTTCTAGTGTAGGATTAACTCAATAAAAATGGAAATTAGGATTTCTTGAATGCCCTTTTATTGGGGGCATAATCCTAAGAAAGGTGTCCAACTCACCTATTTGTCACTTAACAAGCAATGATTGAAAGACTCCCACATCAGACACCATTAGAAGCAATGAGGTTACAGGATAAAGAAAAGGGACAAAGGTCCTGCTCAAGGACTGCAGACTTACGGTCTGATCACGGTGACAAATGTTAAGAAGTGAATACATGAGAGATATATTATCACATGGTGCTGTGTGATGTGAAGAAAACAAAGAGGGTGGTGTGCCAGACAGTGACTGATGCCTGGTGGGGCATCAGAGTGACTGATGCCTGATGCCAGGGTTGGGAAGTCATAGAAAGTTCTCAAAGGAGGTACTATTTGAGTGCCGGGAGACGTGAAGAGGAAGTCACTCTAGAAATGACAGTGGGAGTCCCAAACAGAAGGAGCCTGGTGTCTGTGAGGTACAGAAAGGAAGTCACTGTGGTTGGGGCTTGGTGAGCAATAGTGTGAGGATATCAGAAGAGAACTAATTCTTTTCTTCACATCACACAGCCATGTGATAATATGCTGGGTTTAGGTCCTGTGCTTGGGTGGACAAGTAAAAGGCTTTCTGTTCTCTTTATAGAGCACATTACATGTAAAGTTTTCTGTGACCAGTGCTGTGAATTGGAAGACAAAAATGGCTTAATGACCTTGAAAGTCCTGCAACCGTATGTTGAATGAGGACCAAGAATGAGCCTTCCAAATTCCGGTCTGTCACAGACCCTTACACAGCACTTCCTATTCCCCTGCCTAACCAGATCCTTTAAACTTGTGTTCATAGAGATCGGTACGCATGTGGGAATGGAAAACGTTCCACTGGGAAAACTAATACATTAACACTGGCCTGAAATGCCAGCTGATCAAAGCCCGTGGATAACAAAATAGTTTTACCATTGTGCAGAAGCTAGAGACATTCTGATGGTATGAAAAATCTACATTATGTGTATCCCATAATCCACTTCCTGAATCACATTTCAATGAGGAAAAGATGAATGTTTTGTCTTACACACACCCCCACACCCCCACCCACACCCCCACATCCTAAAATACATATTCTTACTCTGCAAAGGTATCACTAGCCCCCCTCAGACAAAACTGCACGCTCCTCGCAGTTCTCAGAGCATTCTGCTCATTCCTGATCGGGTGACCTTTTGCTGCTCTGACACAATGGTGTCATTCAGGTCTATACTGCTAGACCTGCCCTCGCGATTCACACACAGCCATGGATCAGCTTAGGTACGCTGAATAGAGAAAGAGCTGAAAGAAAAAGGAAATTTCACTCTGATCTTTGGAGGAAGGGAGAGGACTTGATGATTTTAATCTGCTAAGAAGCAATTTAAAACATAAAAATTCAATTTGGAGGAATGGTGTTTATTTCCTCACTCTCTAAAGATTCAGGTTACAGTTTGGATAATTTTTCTCTAGTCTAAGAGAGGGATGTTATTAAAAAAAGTTGGAGTTTCTTTTTTGGTTAGCAGTAAAAAAAAAGTTTAGGGGGTCAATTCCAATGAGGAAAAGTAGTTTCTTTTGATTAATTCAGTGTCCTAACCACTTGAAGATTTATTTCAAACACTAACCCAGAGGCTTAAATTTCTAGGCTAGCACAGGGATTATAAAAGAGACCCTTGGCTACCAAAAAGAACAAAAATGAAGCCTCAAGTGTATTCTAAAACATTTCCTGATGGAAGAGTCTGTAAAATAACGATTTAAATTATAATATACCAAACTGAACAAGGACTGCAAGGAAAATTATATGCTGTTTTCATTTATGAACATCCATGAAAAAATTCTTTAAAAATATACAAACAGAGGCCGGGATTTAGCTCAGTGGCATAAATGAGTGCCTGGCAAATGCGAGGTCGTGAGTTCAACTCCCAGTACAAAAAAAGAAAAAAGTATATATTAATAAATCAAATTCATAAATATATAAAAATCATAACCAGGTAGAATTTATTCCAGCCATGTTTTATATGATCCAGGTTTGAATGCTTATACTATAATTCATAATATCAGGAATTAAAGGAGTGAAATCATGTGATAACTTTACTAAAGGAACAGCAGCACAATTCATGACAGTTAAATCTTGGCACCAGTATATATGCCTGTCAACAGGTGAATGGATAAAGAAAATACAGTGTATATACATAATAGAGACTACCTAGCCATAAAAGGTAAGTTTGAGTCATTCGTAGGAAAATTGATGCATCTTGAGTCTACAATGCTAAGTAAAATAAATCAGACAGAAAAGGTTAAATATCTCATGGTTTCTCTTACATGAGAAACCAAACATATAATTTAAAATTTAAATTGTTATTTAACAAAATAAAGTATAGATGATGGGGAG